CTGCTCTTTGTTGTCAGCCCTGACTGTATGACAGAAAGCATACCCTATGGCTCCTGTTGTCTGCAGGTGACTCAGGTGTAGAAGGAAGCTCAAGGTCACTGTGAATTCCCTCTAATGGCCTCATTAGCCGGGTGGGGATGAGGGTGTGTTTGTTCCACAAGGAGGCAGAAAGCTGGTAATCGCACAATGCCAGATTTGGGGAGGGGGGGAGTGGTAGAAACAAAAGGGCAGATGTAAAGGTTGTGTGTACAGAACCGTAATTACCCCCAGAGTCCAGGGCAGCAGGGTATACAATTACCAGAGCTGCAGAGAAGAGGGCCCAATGAGGCCGGTCACTTGGATGAGCCTGTGAACATACTGTGAGCTTCTGACAGGTAGATTCAGTGCCCTGTGCATTTATAGTTCTCTGTCTAGAAGAGCCGAGTCGCTCATTCAGCTACCTTCTTCTTTTTTACATTTTATGTGCATTAGTACTTTGCTTTAGGTTTCAGGTCCCCTGGAAATGGAGTTACAGATGCTTGTGAGCTGCCATGTGGGTGCTGGGAATTGAACCTGGGTTCTCTGGAAGAGCAGTTAGTGTTTGTAAACTGCTGAACCATCTTTCTAGTACTTCAGCCACCTTCTTAATGACCTCAGAACAAGGGCTCTAGAGCACCCAGCCTGCACTTCCAAGTTTACTGCCTGGTCAAAGGCCCTTTGCATAGCTCTTTTTGTTACGTTGTTAAGGACACCTTTTCCAGTCCCCAAGTCAAGTCTGTATGTAGTCACATGGGACCTAGGATCCTGGTTTTTCACAATGCTCCTCAGCAGACTTTAGGAATAGATTTTGTTTTCCTATCCATGTCCATCTGTCTCCACAGCTCTTGCTGGTGGTCTTATTTCTCTCTGGTCCCCAATTGAGACTGAGTTCAGCCCTTGGATGAGTGGTTAGAAGACAGTGATGGTAAGCCTGCTCTCTTCCACACTTTCACCCAGGAGGGAAGCCAGAGACAAAGGGGAAGCTGGACCAGGCTATTCTTCCTGGAGACTTTCTGCAAAGCAGAGGTGTCTAGCCCTACTCTTCTCCACACAGAAGGGTTGCCACCCAACACACAGAGCTCTGAAAAATTGCTTCTCCAAGCAGGGACTGTCATCTTCACAGTTCACGAAATAATAACTGAGCTCACCTCCCTTCACAGTAGAACAATTCCTGTTTTCTTCCCTCAGAGTTCTAGAATAATTCCATTCATTAAATCCAAAGGATATCCTTTGTACCTACCATGTGACAGGACTGTGTTGGGCATACAGTGAGCATGAACCTGATGAGGATTCTTCTGAGGTACTTCAAGAGACATTCACCATACACACATCTCACACAAAGTTATGACAGCATCATTGTGTCAGAACAAGTGAGGACATCTGTCTAAGAGGAGAGCCCAGTCCAGGCCCAGGTCTCAAACGTGACAGCAGGGTATCAGTTGAGGCTGAGAGGCCACCAGGGACCATCAGGGAAGCAGGTGCTAAGCAACAGGATGTAACCAAAAGGTTCTAAGCCAGGGCTGGGCAGGTTTAAGGGTATGAGTGGGCTGCTTGCACAGCAGTGGCACAGGGGCATGTAAAGATTCTATCCAGGTATTCAGAAGTCAGCAACCAAAAGCTGATCTTCATGAACACAGTTTTGGAAGTCAAGAAGAGGCCCAAGGGACCAAAGCTGTGTGCAGCAGGATGGACCAGGAGAGCCCCAACTCAGGTGTAGTAGACATACATGGAGAAAGCCTTGTGCTTCCAAGTGTGGCTGTGCCCAGCCTCTCATCTCAAATTTGGCCAATCTGTTTTTTGCAGAATAACTGGCTCAAAGAAATTGAGAAAAATTTCACAATGGGCAGCATTCCAGGTTTTCCTTCAGCTAATTAAGTGATATTAGGGAGGTTGTAAATGCCACATAAAAATTGGCAGCAAGCTGCTCCTAATGATGAGGATTGCTTCCCAGGGTGATGCAGCTGCAGCTTCTTAGTGCTCATCTTCAGGGGACCTGATTCTGATTTCAAGGTTGTTCCAGAGTGCTGGAAGGTTGTAGCTACTTCCACACATACACTGATCCTCAGTTCTTGGAATACTCCGATACTGGAGGCCAGCAGAAGGGCTAGACAGTCACAGCATCGCCATAATGGCCAAATGCTTGTTTTTTACACAGACATTGAAGCAAAGAGGGAAATGAACAGGTACGGAGGAGCTGTTGCTTGCCCAAGGACACGCCCGTGTGCGCGTGCACGCGCGCACACACATGACTTAGCCAACCTGTAAGGGACACTGATAGACTTAGAAGCAAGGGGAGGGCAAGGGAAACAGCTAATGGAGAACAAACAGAACCAATGTGTCAAGTTCATGTACAGTTGCACTTACCGGTTGCTTACAATGACACACTGGCACAGTGAAGGCTGTCAATATGAATAGTGCCACACACCAAAGCTTTTGAATTGTTCAGTGTGGGCTCCAAAGATGAGGCATTTGTGCTAATTTGGGTAGGGGCAAGTCTCTCTACAAGGAATTGCCTGTCATGTGCAATTTCCATAAGGATGTTTACTTGAGACACGAAAGATTGACAGGGCTTTAGAAGTGTGGAGGTTAAGGAAATGCTTAGCTGCGCTGAGCTGGCCTGGTAGAGCCAACCCTCAGCAAGCTCTCCTCCCTGACCAAGCACAGCCACATCTAGGAGGACCAAAAAGGTTTTAGAACACTCACCTTGTTTGATAAAATGGGAACTACAAGGTAACACCTTGGCTAGGATGGATTGAGAGAACTGACACAAGTAAAATAAAATTATTTAAGAACAGTTAATGTTGAAACTGCCATTCCTCTACTAATTTTAAAGGAGATGAGCCAAGAGCCGGGACAGAGATTGGACTCTGATGATGACGCTATTGCTGCTGACCATACTGGAGGTGACAGCAGAAGCTGGGAGAACTGTTGTGGGAAAGTGGTGCTGGGACTATGGAATAATTCACCAAGGTGGATGACTTAGAAACTTCATATTCACCTTTCCACACTGTCGGTGACACCAGCTTTGTTATTGTGAGAATGAATCATGGCCCTAACAAAGCATGTCCCTGGACTCAGCTCACTCACATGTGCCAATAGTCCAACTGTTCTTGCACAGCAGATAGGTCCGGGTCTCCTCGTCTCCAGGGAAGCTGGCAATTTTAGAGGACTAGGTTACCACTTTTGCTTCCTGGGAACTGCTGTTTTTGTGAGGAATGTTGCTAAGGGGCCATTCAATATTTTACCAACAGCACCTGTGTACACGTATATGTAGATGTTTGGGGTGGGGGCTGTTTTGACAGGTTTGTGTGTAGGTGCCAGGAAAGGTTTGGTGATTATGACTGTATTCCCATGTGCAGAGAGATATTTACTGTTCCCTTTTAGAACTGAGGGTGGGGAAACTGACAGGCCTGAATATTGAGATCTCATTGGAGATGTTATTTACTTTCTTGTTCTGAAAAGTAGACACGGAGAGGGAAAGGTCATGTATATGAAAGACAAAATCCCTTTGCCATTGCATGGGATTTAGTTCCCTGACCTGCCTTGCTCTCGATTCACACTTGACCAGCACCCAAGTTTCCTGTTTGAGGATGGATGATAGGTTCACAGCTGGCTGGACTTTGCTAGCAGACATCGTGGGTATGTGCATAGCATGTAATTATTCTCTGTGGCAGTGAACATCGAAGCTGGAAAGCAGAGCACTTGAGGACTTAGTGCCACTATTGCACTCATCTGCATGTGACAGAAGGAACCCGTTCTCTTTCTTGACAGGCAGATTTCAGAAGACCTTCATCTCAGAACAATAATCATGGCCACAGCAGGCCCAATTCTTTGCACCTTGTGGGGTTTAATGGACTTTTCTTTCCAGTCCTCAAAAAAGCAGCAACTGGCATTTGCTTGAGTCTTGATGGAGAAGTGTGGACAATCTGTCAGGTTCTCTCTGCCACTTATCCTGGCCACAATTATATGGTTCATGTGCAGATTAGCTGCAAAGTCATTTCCTCTTCCAGGAGTGACAATATTTTTCCCAAATACAAAAAGGTACCTACTGTCTCTTTGGTGCCCGTCTGTGTTACAAAGTCAGGGGCAGGGTGCATGGTGAGAAAGACCTTCAAAAGAAGGGCCCAACAACAGAAAAGGGCTGTTACAGAGTGGTGACATGGTAAGAACAGAGAGCGGCATAGCCACTCAGAGTAATCCTGTGACACACTGCTGTCACTCACTGCCTGGCTCCCTGCTGCGCCAGCCAGACATCAAAGGCTGCCCCATACTATCTTACATGCTCTTTAGCAGCTAATCAGCCCATTCTTCCCTGAATAAAGCTCTGTTCAATCAGCTGCTCACAGGGGTATAGTGGTCTTGGTGCCCATCTGCTAGCTAGGGTCAACTGAGACACGAGGTGGCAGTCGCTCTCTCCCCTGTGGCTTCTCAAGGTAAGGACAACACTGCCACTAAGTTATTTGCTTCCCAGGATCCCATGAGAACAGAGCTGGCAGTGAAGTCTTAGTCCCCCAAGATCACTGTCCTACACTGGGCAGCCCCTCTTCCCTCTGAAGCCAGGTGCTAAACAAGCTAGTGAGGCAATGAGTGCTCTCTGATGAAAAGAGATGGACGTACAGACTGTGTGGGAACAGCAGCAAAGCACGAGGCTGCCTAACCTCCAAGTCAGGGCAGAAATATGTAACATTTGTACCTAAGACAATGCAGTAAGTACCCAGAGCATTCAAGGAGTCTACACCAAAACCTGGGCAAGACTTACTTATTCACTGTGTTTTCCCCATACAGGTCACCCAACAGAGGTACCCCCTAATTCAAGGGCCCCTATAGAGCACTCTCAAGTTCTCTAGTGATCTCTCTCTCTCTCTCTCTCTCTCTCTCTCTCTCTCTCTCTCTCTCACACACACACACTGGCATCAGCCTTCCAGATGACCTTACCTGCTAATATAAACAGAGCTCTGCACATAGTTTAATTCCCATCTTACCTTTTCAAGCTTGCCTTCTTCTTCACAGTGGAGACACTGAGGTTTCTAGGCGCATCTCTTAGTCCAAAGCTCTTAGCCACATGCCCAAGGTGTAGGGATCTGACATGGAAAATGGGCTTCAGCTCCCTGGGGTAGGTCGCATAGGCTCGGATGAAGGACTGCAGAGCTACAAGAAAGGGGGAGGAGAAAGTTAGGATGGGGTTCTGAAGCCTCAGAGCTACCTAACCCCTAGGTTACTCTACTCTACCTTGCCAAGAATAAGAACAGAACCAAAACAACCACACAGGCAACCTGAAGTCATACTTGTGTATGTTCTTAAAATATCTAAAGGGCTGGGGAGGCAGATGCTCACTGTTCCTGCAGAGTTTGGGTCCCAACATCCAGATTGGACAGTTCTTAGCAGCCTGTAACTCCAGCTCTGAAGGAATCTGATACCTCCCTAGGCAAATGCACTCACCTATGCATACCATGTACAGATACAACACATCCATACACATATTAAAACAATAAAAATCCCTAAACAAAAAAATTATAGCCAAAATTAATACTCAAATAAATCCTATTAAATTTGCCTTTGCTGAAGAGTTTGCAACAGTCCAACAGGGCAGGTCCTGTTTTCTCTTTTGTCACACAGTCTCAAGGCCTATCACAATGCCTGGCAAGTAGCATATTCTTGATACCTGTTCCTTAAATATAGTAGAATGAATGTACAAACTAAGTGATCAACATTTCCTGATGAAAATTCTTAGACACTTATATTAGGGAAAACCAGTTATTTTTGAATAGTTAATACACACAACCATGCCAAGGAAAAAGGAAATAAAAAAGCTAAAATAGAGCAGGTAACAGTTGACCTGGGTACCTGCTTCCAGTCTGGACAGCCCAGCTGCAAAGCTGCAGCCCCACTTCAAAGTTAGGAGGAAGGGGTTCCTTGTTCTAGATCCCAGCTTTGGCTAGAGAAGATCTGGGTGCTCGAGCTTTGGCAGGGCCCCTGTGCCTTAACTAGACATCCCACTTGAGGACAAACTTTCCTGTATCTGACTCCTTGAATAGCTTTCAACAAGAGAAAATGAACATCTTGCCTCCCCTCTCTCCAGCAGAGGGACGGCCTCCAATGTACTCTGCCCATCACTGCTTCTTTACTTTCACACCCAGCTCCTCTACTAGGAGGGTTGGAACCAGCCCTGTACCAATGATCAAAGAATCATCAAGCATCAGCCTCCCTCACCTGGGTGGTTGAGCCACTGGACTGGCAAGTTTGCCCACAGCTTAAGTGTAATATCCCAGCAGCACCTGGAGATTGCCGTTTATGAACAGTAATAAAAAGTGTCATTTTAGCAGATCATCTCCTGGAAGGATCCTGGGAATCCATCAAAGCTCTATTTACTGAGCAAAGTGAACTCCTTTTCCCAATCGATGAGAAATAATAAGCACGGCAACTCCTCTGCACCTCTCTCTTAAATCTGTGTTCACTCCCCTTCCAATACCCAGAGCCCAGCTTTCTCAAAGAGTATCTTTGACACTTCAAATGGTCTGCAATGTCTGGAGGGCTCCCACACTGGCCCCACCCACAGTTACATTCTCAGAGAGCAACTCGCTGGCACTGCAGTGACCAAGACCTGACTCCTTTATTTCCCTTTCTTCCTCCAATCCCAACACTTACCTCTGATCTAAAACATCCTACGAAGCCAAGCCAAGCCAAGCCAAGAGCCTGGGCCACTCCAAAGGCAGCCCATATTTCACTTCCTGCTACTCTTTCACATAAGCAGCTGAGCCTTGGGTCTTTGTCTAGCTCACAACCCTTCTCCTCCATAGCACACACTTCCAGGAAGCAACAACACAGATAAATATCTGTCCCAAGAGATGGAGGTGGCCATCTAGAAGTTTTACAGGGATAACAAGTTGCTGAGCAATGGCAGGAAATGCTTATACCCAGACATTAGCCCAGGCACCATTTCACACTGCACATTTTAATTAAACCTTTGCGTCCTCTGTGTTCTAGTGTCATCGGGGACAGAGATAGCTGGCTGTCCTTGCACACGTGCATGGACTTCCATGTTTGGCTAACTCTGAGACAGCAGGGGTAGGGGAATGGTTCATACTGGCCATGTCTAGAATGTACAGAATGAACAGGGCTGTGGGACCAGCACAGCAGAAAGTGGAGAACTAGAAGGAGACATTTATTTGGTGTGACGGATGGAGCTACAGGCAATGAAAGTTGAGCATTTTAGTTGCCAGCTCTTATTTCCAGGAGCTATTTAAGGTGTATGAATTAGAGGGAATCTGTCTAAAATAATCCACTTGGACACCCTGGGCATATGGATCAGGAATGGGAATGTCATACAGATGACTCCTAGGATAAGAAGGCTGGGGACACTCCTGCCTCATATCACAAGCCCCATCTGGTCCACCATAAAGGCCTATACCTTTACCAACAGACACATTATCCAAAGTATGTGAGAAAAGAAATGCCTTGACATGGTTCTCTTAAAAGACAAAGCACTTGGCAACATGCCCAGCCAATGCCATCCCACTGAAGTGAGGAGGTAAATATATTATCACTAATAAGTGTCCCTTCCGAGGTGTAAGGGCCACACATGATCCCTACTCTGTAGGCAGGCCAGAAGATGGAGATGACAGACAACAGGGAACAGTGCATGTGTAGGCAGAGCACTCTGTTCTCCAAAACTTTCCTTCAGAGTCTAGATTGAGAATACATTGCAGCTACTTCTGCAGCCTGAGTCCCTAGCTAAATGACACATTGAGGAGGAAAAGAAGTGACTGTTATATAGAGACTGGCAACAATTAACTGACTATTAATGATAGGATTTTAAAAAAATTGCAAAAGGCAATAAATGCATATTTGGCCCAGTTTCTACCTAGTTTTTTTTTTACCACAAAGGCAAGGCCAGCTGCACTGTTAATTATTCATGAGGCAGGTTCTGCAATGTCACAAAAGAGAAGTAAGCTGGTCGAGGAATTTGTCTATGTAAACTGAAATGCAAAAGGTAGTGTCAATTTAAGGGTACAATGGCTTTTCACATGTCATGGGTCAGTTTCTTTAGAGCGGTAGATGTAGATACATTCTCCCAAACCCCCCCCCAGTCACAATCCTAAGTAGCAGGAGAAATTAGTGAAGGTCTTTGTGTCCCCAGGTAGGTGGCTAAGATCTAAGGGGTGAGGTCAGGTGGTTCTAGCTCTTACAAACCTGGAGTGAAAATCAGTTGGCAAATCAGAGAAATAATCTACATATTTTCTTCTGTATGGAAATATCACCAACATGGGAAGCAGCTCTGCTCCTACAGCTTCAACAGACTGTTGATGACAGACAACACCCCCAATCACAATCTCTTGACAACTGCTTGTTGTTAACTTTAAGAGAACACCACTGACACAGCCAAAGTGGATGGTGTGGGCAAGCATCTTTCTTTTCACTGCATGTCAGTATCAACTCAAATTCAGCTGCGTCAGCCACCTTCCTCCAAAGGTCACAATCATAGTGGCAGTCTCTGGCTCCTCTACAGGGAGGTTCTTGGGAACTATGGGGGACTGCTGAATTCACTTTCAGAAAATGCTGAAGACAGGGTTATTACTTGAAAAATGGTTAGAGAAGGACACACTCCAGTTATATATAGCTGTCAATGAGACTTCCATTATATGTAGCTCTGTTTCAAGTGTTTTGACAACCAAACCCTGTGCTGAGGGTTGAGGGTTAATAATGGCTATCTGAAAACAGATGGTTTTGTTGTTGCTGTTGTTGTTTTTGCTGCCATTAGTGCTGGGGACAGAACTTGGGGGCCTTGTGCTCTCTGGTAAATGCTCAACTCCTGAGCTGCATCTCCAGTCCTGCTGCTATTTTCCTCATCTACTGCTTGATGACTACTTAGTGGAGCCCACTCTCCAGCTTTCACTCTTACTCCAGGGTCAATTCTCACACAGCAGTCAGGTGATCTTTTAAAACCTACGGCCAAACTAGGCGTGGCAGCACACGCCTTTTATTCCAGCACATGGGAGACAAAGGCAGGTGGAGCGAGACCAGCCTATTCTACTGAGTGAGTTCCAGGACAGCCAGGACTACACAGAGAAACCCTGCCTCAACTTACCCCTGCCCCCCCCCAAAAAAAACAACTAAATAGCCAAACCCCTTTGGCCCATTGAGCCCCCGTACCTTAGTTCCAAGCCTACTCAGGATAACTCTACAGATCTCAGAGCAGTCTCCAAGCCCTACAGGATTCTGCCCTAACTAACCACTCTCGTGTCTACACCACCTTCCTTCCTTCAGAATATAAACACTTATCCCATTTGGTTTTGCTTAAGTATCACCTTCTCAGTGGGGCTTACTCTGACCTCTTACCAACCACATCCCAGCCATCACACCTGCCTCCCCCTTACCTGTTGTCCTTTCTGTATAGTCTGTACCACTATCTAATAAAACATTTTGTAGTGAGATAGTCCTTCTCTGGCACTGACCACACCCATTGGGGTGTGGAGCCATGGGCGGAGTGACCTGTGGAAGGAGGTCGGAGGGGGCCAGGAAAGGCGCTCTCTTTCTGGCGTGACTCGGACAGGAGAGGATCGGGTTGAATTTCCTGGTGTTCATCTGTCTAGGTTGTAAGTTATTTCTCCCTGAATAAACATCTATTCGGCCTATTTGTTTATCCTGATCCTTATTTACCGCGATAACATTTATTTACTGTGTTCCTTATCTCCCAGCTGCTCCTTTTAATACATTAGTTTACAAAGCAGAGGATGCTTTCCATCTACCTCCTCATGCATTGAAGCATGCACAACGCCATTCTAATGACACTGCCAAGAAAATTATTTTTTTAAGAGATACTTCTAGCTGGGAGTGGTGGTACATATTTGTAGTCCCAGGACTTGGGAGACTATGGTAAAATGATCCCAAGTTTAAGACCTGCTTATAGCACAATCCTGTCTCAAAACTAAATGAAAACTATTTTAAAAAAATGATAGCCAGACTTGGTAACACCTTCAATCCCAGCACTCAGCAGGCAGGCAGATTACTTAAGAGTTTGAGGCCAAACCTGCTCTCCAGAAGGACTTCCTGTCTTTAAAAAAAAAAAAAAAAAAAAACTTCATTTTTTTTCTCAAAAAAATCTCAAGGAACTTCCAGAAAGCATTATGTACTCCTCCAATGTAGGTCCTTTTGTTTATTTGGTTTTGATTCAGGGTTTCTCTATGTAACACATGAGTCCTGGCTATCCTGGAACTCACTCTATAGACCTGGCTGGCCTTGAACTCAGAAATCTGTCTGTCTATGCTTCTGGTGCTGGGATTAAAGGCAATGTACCACCACTGCCTCGTTCCAACTTAGGTCTTATTAGCACAAATTAGCAGCAGGAACATTCCACTAGGAAAAAGAGTTGGTGATTATAACCACTCCTGCTGTTCAAGATGAACTGTTAATTCCACCCTTAACACCAGAATCCCAAGGGCTAATTTACTTTACAAAGGGTCTGAGAACTATATCAACATCACTTCTATGAACCACCCAGGTTCATGGTCTATGGCCTGTCCTCACAACCATTCTAATCTTCACTTGTACCTTCAAACAGGGACTCCTTAGAGCTACTGCTTTCAGTCCTTCCATTCATCTCCAATTTCCATCCTTACAACTATTTCTGCCCACATATCATCTCTGCTGCCTGGGTGTTCAAAGACAGAGAAAAACAGATTCCCAAGATCCAAGCTGTTAGGCCAGAGCTCTAGTCCTGATATAAGCCAAGATAAAGCCTCATTTGTGCAAAAGATGAAGATGTGTGAAATTAGCATTTAATATCACTTTAAATCCTTCCGAGCCTGATTCCAAACCCTGCAGAATTATTGCAGAATGAAGGCTTTGACTGGTACACAGAGGTCCCCGGATGTCCTCTTAACCATGGAAGTGTGTGGTGAGGGGTGAAGTCAACACCTTGTGGGGCTACCCCACCCCCAATCTCTTGAGAATTCCACTGACCTTTCTTTGCCCAGGAGACCATCCTCTCACTGGAGTGCACATAATCTTCAAATACTGTCTGCAATACTGTGGCTCGTTCTCGGATTTCCTGGGAGCCAGTGGCATGGGATTTCTGGGAGGGTGATGGAAGGATTAAAGGAGAGACAAAGTTGAAGTCAGGAATAATGAAGCAGTTTATAATAGATTTAATAACAGTAAAATCACACGGTAACCACCCAGGGGCCAACGAGGGTAATCCTTTCAATATTACTAGGGAAAGAAGGGAGCTATAAAGATGTTAAAGTCAAGCAAAGATGAGGACAGCATGAAGAGGGAGCAGACCGAGTCTATTTATTTGTTTGCCTACTTTCCTTCATGACCTCTTATCACTCATGTTCAAAGTGAAAGACCTTTAGAGGTACTCTGGAGTTTTCCAAGCCTAATTCTGGCATTTTAAACAGAGAACATACGCTGTTTTTAAATAACTCTTCTCCCTTAGACTTTTCTCCCTTATCCCCGCTCTCAGTGGAAAAAGGCATTTTTTTTCCTTAAGACCATTCCAGTGATCTGTCTAAAATTCAGCCTTACAAGGCTTTATGTCTGTCCCTGAGTCTTGAGCTTGCTTCCCTTTCCCAGAAGTTGGTTGCCAGTGTTTCAGGTTTGCTCCAGAAGCCTGTAGCCACCAAGCTGAGTTCTGAGGCCTATTAAGAAGGAGGCTTTTCAGTAAGCCACATTCAAAGGCTGCCTGAGTCCCTGCAGCCAGAACAACCACTGTAGCCACCGAAAACTATTAATAATATATAAGACCATTTTCATCTTTTAAAAGTCCCAGAGAAAAGATGTCTTTTAAAAATTCCTTCTAGAAAGTAGTGATTTTTATTTCCTTTATCTCACAACGAACACAGAATGAAGAGACTCTGTAGCCTAGGGAGGAGGGTCACCTGAGTGTAGCTACTCATGTAAAGGGGCTACTGAGCCACAGACTCCACCCTCCCATGTAGAACTCAGGCCTCCTCTCTGCCCGCCCACAGAGGACAGGTATAAATACCCTCCTTTACTTTTAAGGCTGGAAGAAGAAACACAAAAGGGAGAGGAGAGAAAAGCTCTTTTTGGCTAGACACTCTTCTCTGCATTAATAGAGACCTAACAACATGAAAATGTTTTTTGGTGTAGTCACATCATCCTGCTACCTGTTTGGCTGATGACAGTCTAGCTGATTTCACAGTACATGGTCCCCCTAAGGGTTTTATCCACTACAATGTCAGCAGAAGCGCCACTGAGAAGCAGTGTTACCAAAGTGGACATTTGCTGTTGTCATTAGCAAGGATTTTTTTCACCTCTTAACTGATGTGAAATGCAAACTTTCCCGCTGCCCTCCTTTCATTAAGCCACCTCAGCAGCACAACTGTCACCTTGCCTGCATTTTTTTTTTTAATATGAATGTGAAATTAGTGAGGATGCCCTTTCCCCTGGCGGACAGAATCCTCTGTTATTAAAAAGTAAAGCACTTTAATAATGAAAACTTTTCCCTCTTTTTCCTGTGTTTTAACTGTTTAAAATTAATGAGAAGGGCAGAATGGTTGTCAAAGCGATATTGAAAGCCGGGCAGCCAGGACCGAATAAGCACAAAAATCCCTCTAGAGTGTTAAATAAACAGAGCTGCAGCCCTCTCTGAATCCCTCTGTTGGTTATTGTATACATTCTGTAACAGCTCTCAGAATAGATCTGAGAGCCAGGGAGGCAGAGAGGTTTCAGAATTCCAATAAAGGCCTCAAATTAAAGACAGCCTGGTGCGAATTCCAGGAGAAAATTAAAGAGACCTCAAGCTTAAGTGACAGGTGACTTGCTTCTGTGTCACAACTGTCAGGGGATTTAGTGATAATATGGCAATATATTACAAAGGGCTTTTCTTATTCCCCCCTTTAGGTTTCAAAATGAGGCATCTTTTCTTCCCAACCAAAAAAAAAAATTACATATATATATAATGTGAGTGGATATACAAGTGAAATGTGTAGAAAAATGATAAAATCAGCTTACACAGTTAAAATGATGAGGTCAGTTTTAGAGAAACATAAGAAGAAATTAATGACAGAAAACAACACATTTAGGAAAAAGCATGTCTTACCCCCAATTCCAGAAATATTTTCAGATTGCCCCTCCTGAGAATGAATGCAGTAATTTTGGTTGTGGGGAGGACAGTCTAAATTTAAACTGAAGACAGAATGGGGCAGAGTAGGGCAGAGCCACCTCAGCCCTAGACAGGTAAATGCTCCTGTAATGAGAGTGGGTCAGAGCCCCGAGGCTCCTGAGCAGGCAGCACTGCCTCTGCCACCCTCACACACAAGCTGGCTACTGGTTAATGAAGCCAACCTACAGCTAGCCGACCACGGGCAGTTGAGAAAAACATGCTTCCGGCCCTCTACTGGCTCTTGGTGTGTCTCTGTCTGTAATACCCCATTGATCCTGGAGACAAAAGACCATGAGAAAGGATGAGCTAGGGGCTCTGATCTGATTTTAACACTTCCCAATGCCAGTGACAGTTTGGAGAATTTTACAAGCAGAACTCACAGGACCAAAAAACAAAACAAAACAAAACAAAAACAAAAAAACAAAAACAAAATTTGAAAAACTTGGAGGAAAACATGCAGGGAGGGTGCACACTGTACATGAAAACTTCATAATACCCAGCAGCCAAGAGACAGTTGTCTCAGAGAAAACTAGGCGGGACCACTCTGTCTGTGAAAAGTTTTAGGTGATGACAGCAGGAGGCGGGGGAGGCATACAGCCAACTTCCAAGATGTATTTAACTAAATGGAAGAATTTTGTTTTAATCACTTTTCTGCCAAGCTAAGCTTTACCCTATGGCCCCCAGAACCTTCTGAATGCCTCCCAGTCAAGTTGAAACATCAAATTTATTCTCTTTGTAGGAAGGTGAACACTCACACCCAAACGTAGCTGTATATATATTTCATACACCTAAATATGAAATATACATTTTACAGATGCTTCACTCGCTTTCTTTCTGTTCACAGAAGCCCAAAAAATGTGTGTGCCAAAGAGACATTTACCATGGGCTTGAGTGGAGCTGGTGAAGAAGAGGGCATGGTAAGGAGGTGCACCATCTGTATGCTGGCCACTTGTGCACCTGCTGCAGAGCTGTCTGCACTGCAGGGAGGGGGTAGCCATGACAGGTATACTTTTCATGAGAAACAGAACAAAAGCTAGACCCAGCACCCACTGCATCCTTCCAGACCAGGTATCTATGTGATTAACAATACAGCAACTTAGACCAAGCATTTTTTTTTTTTTTTTTTTTGGGAGTTAAAATGAAACTTGGTCCTAATAATCTCAATCAGCAGGAAATCCAGTGAGATAAATTTAGTTGTCCAAATTAATCTGGCAACATCAGTGAAAACCAGATCTTCCTTAGCACTCCCCCTCAAACAAACAGCAGCAAACTATAAAACTACAAAAGCAACCATCTCATTCCTACCAAAAGATGGGAGCCTGGGTAATCTGGAAAGATGCGGAACTCACGTGGTTTGGAAGCACAATAAGCTCTTTCTGCCTCAGTTCATTAAGCCCCCAGGCAACCCTCAAATATGGGCACTCTTATTCTCCTACACACAGGAAGACTGAGTTCAGAAGGAAGAAAATCTGCCCAATGCCACAGAGGTACCAGCTGCAAGGCAAGGATAGAGTTCAGGCTGGCTTGACTCTTGCCCAGGCCTTGACAATGACTCTGGGGCTCAGGATGTCTTTGAGGCTGGTTCTCAGCCAGGAGAGACTTAAGGAGAAGAACTGATGCTGCAGATCACAGAAGGGCAGATGTTAAAAATGTCACAGCCAGCTGCTCTGTCCCTTCCCTAGAGACATGTCCTGCTGGGGGTAGTGGAGAGGACGACACACTGTTCAGACAGATATAATCATGACCTCCCTAGAGAGAAAAACCTGTGTTCAGGAACAAAGACCCAAACCAAAGCTGCTACCAGTCTACTGAAGCTTAAGTTTGATCCAACTTTTAGGATCTCATTTTGTAACTTTCCAGTCAGTTCTCATTTCTGAACGGCAGGCAGATGCTTATTTATTTATGCAGCACTGCCAGGAAAGTATGGCAACTACACTGTGTAGCCTTCCCTACTTCATAGTATGTTTGGTACTTTAAGACACTGCCCTCTACTCTCCTTAGAAGAGTTCATGAGGCTTGCAAAGGCTCAGGACTTCGCCAGAGCTTCCCAGGGGCACCAGCAGAGAAGCTGACCCACTCTCAACACACATCTTCCATAGCTCCCACGCTCCCTACTGACACTACGGAGCTGAACTAGAACCTCAAGAAGTAGCTTGAAGTAGCTACAGGAACATTAAAACATAAAACTCTAAGCACAATAGTTACAGAATAGCAGAAATGAGCAAAGACCACAGTGCATCTGTGTAACAGGTACCCAGTCCCTTAAAAGTAGACCCATAAGCTCACTCTGGTATGGCTGTGATGTTTAACATGGAAAGTCACTTAAAATAACTTGTTGATCAACTGCATCTTTAACAGCCTTTTCTAGTCACAAGGATCTGTGATATGTATGGTGTCATTTGCTGACCAAACTTCACCTCTGTGGAAATTAACATCTACTAAAAAACAATTCAGTGTGGAGTTCAGAGTGCTGCTCTGTTGTGAAATGCAGTATACACCAAGGCCTTGGGTGGATGGTCAGTGCCACTGGAAAAGAGCATTTCTAGTTGGTCACGTGGCGCATACCTGGATACTCAGCACTGATGAGGTTGAGCCAGTAGGACCCTGGGTTCAAAGCCAGTCTGGGTTACACGGTAAGACCCTGTCTCACAAACAGAGAAACACAGCACAGTTCTCCTGTACTGTGGTTAGTCAGCATGAGTGGAGACACAGGGTGCGAGCTTAATACAAGGAATGCTCTAAGGCTAGATGGCTGCTTTCATGGTCTGTGAAGCTGCTTCACTCTAAGTACCACTCTCCTGGCCTAGCAGCCAGGTACTATCTACCTCACAGGGTTACTGGAAAGATTTGATGGGGCCCCACCTGAAAGTACTTGGTAAACTCCCTTAGGCATGCCCTGGAAGAGGAGAGCTTAAGTCAGGACCAGGCACATCTAGCCCTGCCTCAAAGGCCGTATTAGTCCAAATAAAGGCACCTGATGCATGAGAGGAATATCTCAGCTTGATCTAAGTGACTCTGATTTTCCCACTGCATCATGGGGCCTAAGAAAATAAATGTAAAATATTCAAGTAATTAGCCAAGTCACATAGAGCAACACACATGTGCATACACTACACTGAGCAATGGACTAGAGGGGTGAGGCCGAGAGGAAGCAGGGAGAGGATGCTCAGGTCTGCGGGCACAGCTCACTGTCTCCATATGGAGCTACTTGGATAGTAAACATTTTTCTTCTTAATGAGCTCAACTTTATTCTTCCTCTGTAGACAGTGCACTCACATTAAAAAATGGATAGCTTAAGTGTGTCTGAAAAAGACACAGAGATATTTTTTCTGCCATTCTGCTATGGATGGACAGGTCTAGTAAGTGGTCCTTGCTGATGATCTGGAGAGGGGCCATGACCTGGGTGAACTTACAATACTGGCTCCAGACTCAATGCCCTCAATCTCCTTTCTTCAGAGCCTGCTGCTGCCTGGCAGTCCTCCAGAATGGACTGACACCCATTACTGGATGAGACTAGCAAACACATCCAGAAGGAAGAGAAGGGGAAAAAAAACCCACAATCATGATCTGACTTAATCTAATACTCATGGTCCTTAAAATGTACATTCTGTTTGGCAGAAGAAATAGTCCATACATGAAGTCCCCATCACCCCAGATCAAGAAATGAGTCACTTACCTGGCCTCCTCTCTGTCTCCTTTTAAAGCCATCATCCTTTGTCAGGACAGCCAAAATATCTTCCATCTTAATCTCAGAAACACTGTAAGAAGATCACATGGAAGTCAGCTTTGTACTTTCCCAGAGATAGCCCAAATTCTGATGTATAAAACCGGCCAATTCTGAACCCTGACTTCAAGCACAAACAACACCTGAGAAAAGACAGCAGGCCAGCTAGTACCTTTGCTAGTACAGGAGCTTGCTACCAAGTCCACAACCTGACTTTTGCCACTAGAACCTACACAGTAGGAGGAGAGAACAGAATTCTAGAGTTTATCACTCCTCCTGACACACAACATAAATACATGTTAATAAAAACTGAAATTCCCCCCCCCCCCCGCCTTTTCTGAGACAGGATTTCTCTCTGTAGCTTTGGAGCCTGTCCTAGAACTGTAGACCAACCAGGCTGGCATTGAACTCACAGAGATCCACCTGCCTTTGCCACCTAAGTGCTGGGATTAAAAGTGTGCACCATCAACACCCAGGAGGATAATATTTTTAGGCCTTCAGATATCTGACACAAGGAGAGTTAGCAACAGGACCAAGTCAGCCAGTGTACTCCACACTCCCCTTTCCCTGATGGGTCTAAAGCAGTTTACGTTACATGGGAGTTCTTCCTTCTATCCACCCAACCATCTTGCTTTCTTTTCTTGGTCCACTTTTTTGGGCCAAGGTCTCATGTACCCTAGGTTGCTGGCCTTGACTCACTCTGAAACTTAAACTGGCCTCAATCTTCCTGCCTCTACTGAGTGCTGGGGTTGCAAACAAGTATCACCATACTAGGCCTCTAGCACCTTTATTTGTATGTGCTTGTGTATGTACATGGACCCATACATACAACATGGCCTATGTGTTGGGGGTCAGAGAGCAACTGCAGAATTCAGTTCTACCACATGGGTCCTGGGGATGGAACTCAGGTCAGCTGCCTTACTAGCCCTCTGCCATTACTTCTTACTAAAGCTTGGTTACTAACACAGTAGGCTTGCTTCTTAACATAATAACTTGGACTCGAGCAGACGAGGAAATAATCATATCTCACAGGCTGTTTCCTTAACTACTGGGAAAAGACCACAGTGATGGTGGTGGATGGCCCAGCTTTATGCACAGTTCTTCTGTTCTTTCTCTACTCTAGAGAATCTTTGATACTTTTGTCTCTTCATCACTCAGGGCTGAGGAATAACCTGGACCACTGAAACCAGTAGTCAAAACAAGAGACCACAACCGGCCACCAAAGAAAGTCTGGCAATGCACACAGCAACTCCAAGGCCATGGCTCTAGAACCAGGAGCAACATGGAAAAACAACCAGAGATAGGAAATGTGAGCTGCTGAGCTCATCTCCCAGAGGAGAGGAAAGGAGGAGCTGTAAGGCAGAGAAACAGATCATGAGAAGATAAATGATTTTGTTGTATGTCTTTTTTCCTTCTTTTGGAAAATGTAACAGCAAATTAAAACACGAATGGCAACCTCTTACCAGCAAACACAATTCCCTCCCTTTCCCCAACGGTTACTCTGACAGAGCTATGAATGAAAATGCCACATCTGACAGCCACAAACTTGAGATGTGTCAACTCCTCCAGGGCCCCAAGCCCCAGCCCCCACCCTCAGTATCACACAGACCTGTGGAGGAGAGATGTCTCTACAGCAGGGAAAGGTAGCTGCAGGAGTGCAGGTTTTCAGGAAGTGCAGGGTTGGGAAGATGGGAGGCAAGGCCAAGGTACCCCTTCCCCCAGGAGCATTTTGACCTGCCCTCCAACCTGTGAAGGACAGAGACATACAGTAGCTGAGTTTGCCTCCCACACCTGAAAACCTAACAGTGGGACAGACATACATGTGCTTTCCTCTACCCCACCTGACTCCTATTGTTACCTTTGGGAGAGGGGCAGAGACAGATACAAGTGGAAAATAAATATAAGAACTTGGAGTAAAATGGGCTTTGGTGGCTCACAGCTACAATTATAGCATGTGGGAAGCTAAGGCAGGAGGACTGATAAAAGCCCAAGACTATCTTGGGCCATGTGGTGAGTTCAAGGCCAGCCTGGGCTACATAGTAGGATCCTGTCTCAAAAAGGAAAATGAGACAAAACAAAACAAAACAAACAAAAAATGGTGGTGACTTATGCCTTTTATCCCAGTACTTGGGAGGCAGAGGCAGAGGCAGGTGGATCTCTGTGAGTTGAGGCCAGGCTGGTTCAAAAGCAAGTTCTAGGACAGTGAGTACTACACAGAGAAACCCTGTCTCAAAACAAAACAAAACAAAACAAAACAAAACAAAACACCCAACCACAAAGCCAATTCAGCCACAGAAGGGAAAGATGTTCTTGCTTGTAGAAGGTGACACTACCCAGTCAGGCCAGGGCATGAGCAAACAGAAACAGCAAGGAACTGCAGCTACCAAGTTTAAAAGACTTCCTCCTAACCTGCCTCTGAGGAACAAAGTGGATCTACTATGATTATTTCAGTCCTATGGACAGACCTGAAGACAGGAATAATACGTCCAGCAAAACATGTCTATGCTGAGCAGTGGGGGCTCATGTCTTTAATCCAGCACTCAGGAGCCAGAGGCAGATGGATCTTTGTGAGTCTGAGGCCAGACTGGTCTACAGAGTAAGTCTGTTTCACAGAGAGATCCTGTCTCAAAACAAGACAAACAAACCCCCCCCCCAAAAAGCAAACCAAAACCAAATCATCTGTTTGAGCTAAGATACACATATTCTGATGAAGCATTTACATTTTAATAAACCAGGAATGACTTTCAACATACTTAAGCAGGGAGGAACTAGCACCATAAACAAATGGGAAGGATGGAGAAACAAAGTTTGAGCACTCAGGTGGAGGTGGCAACAGCCCAGGGTACTTGTCCCTTGTCCAGTATATTACAGTGAGGAGAGTACTGCAGCCCCACACAAGGCAGGCAGCAATTCAGCAGCTACCCAAACCCTATTGCCTAGTTCTTGGGTTCTCAAGCACAAAACACGCATATAGCAGCCCCCCACCTCCTGCCTCCTTTTTAATGATTAATGTACCTTTTAAATTTTAAAGATGTTGATGTTGGGATATTTCTGTTACATACAGATTTTCTTTTAAAAAAAAAAATTTTTTTTTTTTTTTTTTTTTTTTTTGGAGACAGTGTGTCATGTAAACCAGGCTGGCCTTGAACTCACTAAGTGGCTGATGACTTTGAACTTCTGATCCTCCCAAGTTCTGTGATTACAGGCCTGTACCACTACACTGTTTTCACCATACTTAGCTTGGAACCCAGAGATTCATGCATATTAGCAAGCACTCTAACCAACTCCAGCTCTAACAATTTACTCTCTTATCAGAGTTTATTTTAGTTTGCATTAAGTCAAAGCAACAGCCTATATATAGATATCAACAGAATTGTGGTGCCTGCTGCTCCCTAGTGACCCAAGGTCTAGCCACGAGACAGGTGGCAGCAAGGAGGGACCCTCATCCTATGTGACAGTTTTTACATTGCTTTGCAGTCACCCCCAAAAGGCCCAGCTCCTTTCCTTCTGACACTCCCTATAATCACCTTTCTCAAGGCTCCTGTCAGTCTGGCCTCCCTGCGTCTCTTCTTTCATGTGAACAGCACAGAAGTGCTGACACTGAAGAGGACAGTAATCACTACATCTTTAAAATAATTTGCCTCACTAATAATTCCTATCTGAAACAGTCACTGTCTCTTTTCAATTTTAGGCTCATTTCTGAACCCTTCACAGAAATCAACTTGAATGTGTTTATTAAAGAAAAATCAGGATAAAAGACAGGAGCACCTATGCTGTGAGCTCTGGTGTTTGACATATGCCACTTGTAACTGGTCCTTCATGGTCTGAAGACTGTGACAGAGTGCATAGGCCTAGGGAATGCCCTGGGCAGGCAACAGGAAGAGCTGAGTGAATGGACCCTGCGGGTCTAGACTGGAAGGAGTGAAAGGAGGGAGCCATGCACACATTGCTGCTGTGGTGCATACTGGTATCCTTTCCTGTGACTGCACTGCTCTGGCCCTCGGCACAGGACACTGAAGATGCTCTCTCCACGGGCGGACTGCAGACAGGAGAGCACTACAGTGCTTTGTTGCTCCCTCTCAACAGCGGGAAAACCAAGACCCAGCTACATCAATGGTCTTCCAGTTCACTTCTACACAACTTCCAGAAAGCACCAGCCCAGCAAAAGGGCAGCCCAGATGCTGAAGGCCACGAGGAGCACCAAGCAGCCCCAGACTGGAGGACTCTGAATTCAAGCAGAAACAACACCAGAAGAGAGATTATCTACATGAACATCATGGGGACTCTCATGGGTGAGATCAAATGTGTGCACTTTCATGGAAGAAAATCATTCTTTCACTTGACAGGTTGTTAAGATGAGGAACAAGGGAAACAGAAGGGAAACCCAAGCAATCTTAATTTTGGCCCACTTGAATAATAACCACCCGGAACAGGTACCCACCTGTACACACCAGAAGTAGCTAGTGCACTGTCTCAGCCCACAAATGCCCACACCAACAATCTTGAAAGTTCCAAGAAATATCACTAAACAGAGTCCTGCCTGCCGGGAAATGTGGCAAGAATTGGTGGGACAGCCATACACAGCTCCGCAAGTCTGTAGTCACTCCTATTGGCATCCTCAGACCAGATCCCCACCAGTGTTTACAACTTTGTACAGGCGAGAAAGTGTCTTGGGAGTTTCACTTTTACATAAAATGTATGGCTGGTCAAAGAGGAAAAGACTAGAATCACCACATGCAGCAGGCCACAGAGACACAGAGACACGCAAAAAACACAGCATCGATTCTCAGCAGCACCAGAGCAGCCAATGGGGCTTCTGGGCTTGGCATGCATCACATCCCACCACCTTGGGCAGACACATGGCTCTTCCAGGGCTTCTAAATAGACTTGTCCGAATCATGTCCGAGTCTGTCATGTCGGAGTAGAAGAAATTCTTAAAAGTAGATCTGGGTCAAATACTTCATGACTTTACAAACTCACTGTTAGAACCTATGACTTCAGGTGTCAAGAGAATTTACGGAAGGTTGGACAAGTTCCTTTAAGTGGTCTAGGCCAATCATTTCCATGTAAGCTTCCCACAGGGGCATGAGGCCAATACTTGAAAATACCACATACAAGACAGAGGCAGATACGAAGCTAGTTTCCTTGTTCCAAGTGCTCTGAGGAGCTGTAAGATGCTAAGCATAAGGATGAAAACTGAGCATGAAGAGGCCCCTGAGAAGCTGGATATAAGGCACACCTCCTATGGAAGAGCTGAAAAGCCAGGGGCACAGACCATTCTGTAACTTACTGGCACTGAAATGGGAACGGCCGGGTGCAGGTGGTACCGAAGCTTTCAGTTTTTGCCATTGGCTATTCTAGAACTCTTTTAGAGATCACAGGGGTTAATGGCTCTTCAGCAGCTTACAAGGCCTATCCACTCAAAAAGTGACAGAAAGTTAATTATGTGAGATCAGCTGAAACCCCATTCAGGTTTCTGACTCACTTGATTTTGTGAGAAGCCAACGAGTTGACATATTCTGCCTCTGAAGGAGCCAAAATGAGCAAGCTGCTCCCATGACAGCCAATCCGGGCAGTTCTTCCAATCCGGTGAATGTATTCTGCAGGTGAAGATGGAGCACTGTACTGAAAAGGACAACACATATGAAGGCATTCATAGATCAGGGACTGCCACTAACTGGAACTACAATACCCCTCCCTGCCTCCAGGTACCCTGGCTACAGCTACTCTCACAACCCTGAAGCTTCTGGGTTCCCAGGAACAAGGCTCTGACATAAAAATGTGAATTGTGGCCAAGTTTCTGATGAAGAAGACACATCTCACCCAGCATCTTCTTTTTAATTTCACTGCTCTACAGGTTTCTTCATTGTCCTATTTGCATCTTTTCACTGAAGTGACTTGACTGTGCAAGGTGAATGAAAGCAGGTGGAGAAAATTTCTCCAGGATGACCACATGACCTTGGCCTATTTCCTTGGTAGACATCGCAGCTGAGAGGCAGCAACAGCGGACAAGAGGCGTAAGGATGAAGGGCACCAACCACTGTGCTGGCAGAGTCCATCACTGCTTTGGCCCCAAAGGCAGGCCAACCACCTTGCTGCAACCCTACTCCCAGTTGGGTGGGGAAGTAGATAGATAATCAAGATCAGACAGGGCAGGCTTCTGACTCAAAGGAAGGGCAGTTCCCACTCACTAGAACCATCAGGCAGACATCCTGCTATCCCTAGCAATAATTCTGCTAAATGATCACACTTTCTTTGCTGATACATAAATATGGGAGATCAGCAGACCAAAGTGAATAAACTACATGAAAGGCCAGCCATTTTAAACTTGTCAATATTTACAGTACAAGGCTTCTCATAATCAAATCAGAGTCTTAACCCAGCACACTAAAATCACCCCTGTCTACCCATCTCCCATTGGCTCTATGGCCAGCAGGAAAAAGACACAATGCTTCTAGTCCCAACATGGTAACTTATGACAAACAGATCAGATTTCTGTCTAACACAAGCCACAAAATGTGAATAAACCAAGAGTCATGTAAACAGGGCACATGTCCCTTGGCCCAGACATGTGCTTAAAAATACCAATCTGCAGACTAATGAAAAGAAAAGAAAAAAACCAAACCAGACCCACCAGACTATAGCACTAACACCTGTACCCTCCGGCAAAGCGTCTAAGGCAGAAGGTGTGTGTAAGATGCTGTCAGGACCTTAATTGCTCCCTGCAGGTCAATGTACATGGACACAGCTCTTATGACAGCTGAGCCACCTCCTTCTGGACACAATGAAGCCTCCCAAGGGCCTGGGTATCTCCTGTTATGTTCAGACTCTTGAAACTTTAGTTTGTTACATGAATTAGTCCAGAAGCAGGAGTCTGCTACCCTCTCCTGAGACTGCCACCCTGGCTGCTCTGCTGCAGTGTTGCAGAGAGGGCTGAGCTAAGGAAAGATGTCAGAATTGTACAAGATAGGGCTGGCTGCTGCCAGGTTACCAGAGCAACACCCAAGAGGTTAATAATGATCATTCAATGCATCTTCTCATGCTTATACACTCACACCTTAATGACTAGAAGATTACCTGAACAATCCAAGTGACTTGTGGGAGATCTAAGCCTCGAGCTGCAACATCCTTCAAAAAAGAGAATATAGTTTATGGTTTAAAACTAAGTTTCTCTAGCCCACCCCACTCCCCCCCCTTTTTTGAGACAGATTACTGTTCTATGGCACTAGAAATTTATAGCCCAGGCTGGCCTTCAAATTAAGACAATTTTCCTAGCTCAGCCTTACTAAGGTATTACCATGCCTTACTGAGTTTCTAAACTTGTAATACTTGGTAATACAAATTCTGAAGACACACACACACACACACAATTCTGAATATTTCAGGTGGCTTAAGGGCCCATTGAAACCCATTTATCATTAAAAATTCTGTATCAGGGGTCAGCAAGATGGCTCAGAGGATAAAAGATCCTACCACCAAGCTTGACAACCTGAATTTGATCCTTAAAACCTACATAATGGGAAGACAGTATTACTTCCCACATGTTGCCCTCTGACTTCCACACATGTACCAGGCCCTGCAACCCACCCAAGCCCAATAAGTAAATGTGAAAAAACAAAACTCTGACCTGTGGTGAGTTAGACAACTTTCATAACTCAACACAATGTGCAGGTCAGCCCCAAGACCTTAAATTAGAGCTGTCAATGTGCCATGTAAGAATTCTGAAATCCTGGATAGCTTTGATAGCACACACATCTGTAATCTCAACTACTAGGGAGATTGTCGGGAGGAATATCAGGAATTGAAGGTCATCTTCAATTATACAGCAAATGTTAAGACTAGCATGGGCTATGGGAGAGCATGTTTCAAATAAACAGCTATCCCTCAAGTAAAGGAAAGGGCCATTTAGCATAAATGTATCGACAGACCATTATCCTAGCCCTACATTACTAGTAACAGCAGTCACACAGCTCTCTGGTATACTTCTGGAACATCTCTCAAGGCACTTGTTTGTGAAAGGAGTGAGCTGTAGTGTTTACTGAGGATGCTGCCTGTTGGGTTCAGAGCAGGAAGGATTGAGTAGTTTGCAGTCACTTCTGGGAGTTAAGATTAGGATACACTCCAAACCTGCCCACCACTTCAAAGACTTGATTGGACAGCTGAGAAATCATAAAAAGGATGGAGATTTATCTTCCCTTTCAACTGGTCACCACCCAAAGAGCCAAAGTTCTTAGCTCTCTATCCTTCTGCCATTCTGGCAGAGACTAGATGAAATTACCCAGTCTATAGCAATAATGTGCACTTAGCTTTCACATTCAAACCCAGCAGCCACAGCAAGAGTCCAGCATTCAAAGCACCAAGTGGACCTCAGCATTTTACCCACAATACTTCAATAATCTTTAATTAACCTACTTTAACCAATCTTAAAAGCAGTTATCACCCCCATTTGTCAGAGGGGGAAAACAAACAAACAAGGTTTCAAGCCTAGGACACAACCATGTGGAGCAGGCTTAACCCTTAGATGCAGGCCTGCTTCACTTTTGCAAGGCCTTATTTGCCAATAGAACATTCTACCATGCAAGAGATGCTGAATCCCTCATGTGCAGATGTAGGAATGCAGAACTGTACACAGTCCCATTACAGAACACATCTACCCCCCCCCCACCAAAGTAGCCTCACTTCTAGAGAGAAGCTGGCAAAAGACAATACCATGTAAGCAGAGGCTATTCAGTACTGTCTATGAAGAATCAGACTGGATAAAAGATGAAGAGAGAAGAAAAGTCTACTAGGAGAGTTTCTAAGAGACCTTAGTATATGTGCAATATGCTTTTGTGTAAGAAAAACAAACATACTTGTTTTTTAAAAAATCATGGGAACAGTGTTCTACGTTTAGAAAAATAGTTACCTTTAGGGGAAAGAAGAGACCAGGAGGAAGATGGGTCAAAGACACATAGTGGACACTAGAGTATTTGCTGGGAAGGAAAGTGATCAGCTCTTATGCAAAATAAATCAGTGTGGCTTACAATTAACTCTTGCTTAAGACTAAAGCCTAGAAGCCAAATCTAATCAACTGTCTAGAACCAGTCACTAATTTACAGGGACATGGTAACCAACTCAAAAAAAGATACACTTTAGAACCAGACCATAAAAAACTGAAAGCTAAAGAGACAGTAGGTAAAGTGCTCAGGAAATAAGCATGAGGACCCGAATTTGAATGCCCAGAAACCATGAAAAACCAGGCACAGTAGTGCACGTCTATAAGTTCAATTATTACAGTTGGATTGGTTAATGAGACAGACAAATCCTTGGAAGTTCATGGGCCAGTCAGCCTGGCATACACAGTGGCAAACAACAAAGACAATTTATCTCAAATAAGGTAGAAGACAGACTGAAGTTGTCTTCTAACCCCATACATGGGTATAGTCATGCCTACACTTGAAAACACACAGGAAAATTAATTAAAAAACAAATTATCTGATTTCCATAGCTCCCCAAAATCCAGGGGTAGGTAGTGTGAGAAATAATAAAAACAAAAATCATTAACTAGATGGATGAATATCCCAAAGGAGGCTCAAAACTGCCAACAGCTATATGTGGTGGTTCACACCTATAATCCCATAATCCCAGTGTTCAGAGTCAAGATGCAGGAGTGTGACATTGAGGTAAAGGCCAAACTCATGTGTACAGCAAGTTCAAGGCCATCCAGGGCCACATGGTGAAATTTTGTCTCACACAATTAACAAAAAGTAACCTCTCTGGACAGAGAAATTTGAGATGGTTCTTCTTTTGGTTATCTCCCTAAGGTATTTGCTTTGTTTTAAACAATAGGTGTTATCATTTCCCCCAAAATTTTGATATAGAAATCCTTAATTTAAACCTTCAGAAGAGTTGTTGGTCCATTTTTTTTCCCTAACCTTAACACATCTGTTTTTTCCTTCCATCTGAGCACACAGACACAGGAAACACACACACACACACTTTTTAATTGCCTAAACCCACTTACAAATGTAGTGACAGCTCAGTCTTTGATACCTCAGCAAGGGCTCTAATTCAGAGTGCTCTTCTACTGACCACCATATGAGAAACTCTGAGGGAAATCTGAGAAACACCATTTATTTCCTCATCAACCATCAGTGTCAAATTTCTCCACTCTACTTGAGATGACTCCTATGGATGCTTTTCTTTCCAGTCCAGAAGCAAGCAATGAACACAATCCCTGCTTAAAAGCTCTAGATAGCCTTAATCTGGAAACAGTGGTAGTATGAATGAAAACGAGGCCCATATATTCCTAGGGAGTGGTATTACTGAAGGTACGACCTGGGGGGGGGGGGGAGTGGGCTCTGAGGTTTCAGAAGCTCAATCAAGTCAGGCCCAGTGGCTCTTTATCTTCCTGCTACCTGCTGATCCAGATCCATGACTGCCTGCACACCCCATGCTTCCTGATGGTCCATGATGATAATGGACTAAACCCCTGAACTGTGAGCCAGTCCCAATTGTTTTCTTTGTAAGAACTGCATGGCCATAGTATCTCTACAGCAGTAGTGCAATGACTATGACAGTGCTCCTGCTTTGCACTGACTTTAGGGTTTTAAATTTTTTTTAATGTGTATGTGTATGGGCCTGAATGTATGTTTATGTGCACCATGTGCATACAGGTGTAGAAGAGTTCAGATGAGGGTGTAGGATCCCCTGGAACTGGAGTTACAGGCAGTTATGAACCACTGATATGGGTAATAAGAACCAGACCTAGGTCCTTTGCAAGAACAGCTCTCTTAATGGCTGAACCATCTCTCCAGCTCCTTGTTTATTTTTTTGATGTTGTCACAAGAACATACTCTAAGTATACCTACTTGGTTCCACATGGTAGGGTTCAGGCAGGCATTATGGCAGGATGGTACCTTTGGCTCTATGACGTAGGGAGGCCTGCTGGCTGAACATGGGAAATGCTGCACTTAATCAGCAGGGTAAGTGGTGTCTACCAGCTCTCTCCACTGAGAAGGGACAGAACAGCAGAGTCAGATTCAAAGTCATAGGAGTATCCTTCCATTCAACATTTCACCAGAGATCTTGATTCTATGGATACCCCTTGTTTTTATCAACTGCTACTTTGAAGATATAAAGGATGAATTTCTAAGTCCACCATGTTTTCCTTAATTTCACTACTGAAAATGTCTGCACTAAAAATAGCTTTCCCTTCCACTTTTTAAAAGTAAGGATTTTGCCAAGTGTGTGACCTTTAAATCCAGCACTTATGAGGCAGAGGCAGGCAGATCTCTGTGAGTTTGAGGCCAGCCTGGTCTAAATAAAGTCCCAGATCAGCCAGGGCTATATAATGAAACAGTTTAAAAGAACAAATCAAAACACCTGTAAGAATTTGGACAAACAGGCTAAGTTTCTATAAGAAGGATAGGACTGAAGGAAATGCTTGAGCAGTATCAGGTTGTGCAAATGGAAGTTAATACTGTCTGTCAGCCCAGCATCCTCCAAGAGCCTAAAGCTGGTGCTGTGAAGCTCACAATCTAGAATATGTGTGAGAATGTAATCTAGAATGTTCTTCAAGCACAGGGGAGTAGAAGCTCTCAGCACTAACCAATGCCAACACCGAGAAAACTGATGGTTTTCTAGTCTGCTAAACTCTTGCTGAATAATGATTAGCGCTCAGTGTTCTGCTGCAGGACACAGAATTGGGGCTACCCAAGCTTTCCATAGACTTTGTAAAAAGCTTAATGCTCACCTGAGTTAGACATAGACAAAGATGGTAACATCTAGATGAGACTGAGCCTGGAGAGCCTATGCCTGGACATCACAAGCTCCACCCCACACAGCAAGCTTAGCAAATTCAACCGGGGAAGATTAAATTCTACAAAAGGGCTGAAGATACAGCTTAGTGGTGTGGCATTTGCCTGATTTGTGAGGCCTTGGGTGAGTTCCCCAGCAGTACAGAACAACCTAGAACCTAATACAACAATTGAAATTTATTGAACCCACATGTGCTGAAATAATGAGAGCTTAAGGGCACAAGCAGGCTGGCAACTCCACTCAGTCACTCACCCCCAAATTCTCTGACAGTCCTGTTAGGGAGCCCAAGCTGAACGTGAGCTCCATTCCTCCCAGTTCAGCCTCTCAAGCTAGGATTGCAGGCATATACCACCCTGCTGGATTCTGCTGTTCCTTCCATTGTGCAAAAATTGGTAACAACCAGGTATTCTTTACCTAGGTTTAAACCAGACACTTTCTGCATCCCCCTCCCAGGTACTAGAGGCTAAGGGAAGGAATCAGACCTGGTCCACAGCAGGGAGCACTGGCACCAGCTTGGCAGCACTGGGAGCCAGTCAGGCTGGGGTGGCCGGTCAGTCTGTTGCACCAAGCCACCTACCTGTACTGTAGCTAAGAAGTGCCTTGTTAATGAAAGACAAATGAGAGAGTATACAGGAACCAACCTAGCAACTGCAACTAAAGTGTGCTGCTTCATAATGAAGAAATGGTGACAACACTAGACTTCACTCTCCCTCACCACATCTTACTTGGCCCTCTGAGCAGGCATGAGAGAGGCCAACAATGGCCCCATCTTCTAGGAAGGTGTTAGATACCCATACCAGATCCACAGGAAAGGTTTCAGTTCTGTCCTCTCAGTTCTCAAAACTTAAGCATGATCACAGCCTCATTTTATTCCTTTAACCTAATTAGGGCAAAAGAATCACTAAAGTCAGCTCTGAAAGGCATTCACCAACAAGCCTTGAAGGCCCTGGGCTTGACAACTGGCAGCCTCCATGAGACCCAGGAGTACAGATGGAAGGCAGCTTGCTCAGGTGCCAGCCTGTCAGTTGGATTAAAATGACTCATTTATTTACCCAAGAACCTCACAAAGTGCTTTTACTAACAGGGAGAGGGAGCCTGCCATCTCTCTGAGAAGGGACGTACAAACTCGCCTCTGACGCCTTCCTGGCCTGCCAAAAGTCATTATTGCCATGTGTGGAAAGCCATCAGCAGGGTACAGGCCCCCGTTGTCCGGGTGACAGATTGGGCTGCGTAATCAGAGGAGGAAGGGGAGAGTGCAGAAGCTGTCAGAGGCGAGAGATCTTGGCTGGAGCCGCCAAAAAACTGGCAACATGAGTTAGCGTGACTGAGTAAACAGCAAACAATCTCCAAATGATCCTTCCATTAGCAGTGCAGAAACAAAGTGCTAAGGATAAACTTCCCCTGAAAAGCACAACCAGAGAAGCATAAGAGCCACACGCATGCAGGGCACTGAACCCAGTCTAGGGACATGTGCAGCCCTTGCTCCTTTGTCTCTTGGCCACTGGCACAGTAAACTTATTTCCCAGGAGGAGAGGAAATTAAGAACTGCAGACAACAGTGTGTTTCAATCAGAGAAAACAAAAGTAATGAGCTAGTAGTGGGGCAGCACAGGTGACTGTATGTAGCTCTTATGTAGGAAACCTACCTAGTGGACACCCATGGTCCATCTACACACATAGGTGTTTGTAGCTGACATGTCAAGCATCAGAGGCCTCTCCTTTCTGAGCTTGGCACTGCATTCCATTCATCCAGGAACAAACAAGGAGAGCAAACACACCAGGAAAAGCCCTGGTGCTGACCTTAAAACCAGAGAGGAACTCTGAAATTTCATTTTGTGGTCACCCAGTGGCATTTTCATACATGGAACTAAAGAGAGTATTCCCTGCCTTGATTCTGGGCAAGTCATAACAATGAACCAGCAGAAAAGAATAGTCTATAGATAAAACGAAGTCCTGAGCCTAAATTCTTTGGCTCCTATTTAGAAAAACAGGCTTTTAGTTTTCAGTATCCTTTCTCGTACTTATTCCTTTGCTTCATTTATGTTTTACTTGAGACATGGTGTTTTGAGGCCGTGGCTTGGATCGTCTTGCTTCCACAGGGAGATGTGTACCACCCTCAGTCCATCCCTCTTCAATTAAGACTTCTTTTGCACACAAAATGCTTCTGTCCCAATTCTCCTTTAATTCTGCCAACCCACCCCCTTACCATAGCACTACCGTACCAAATAGCCAGTCTACAAGAGTCATGTATGTTTCAGGTCCTGGGAAAGCTGTATGAAATTACAAAGGTCCTAGCTTGTAAGACAAGTATAATTAAGGGGAACATAAACCCTACATACCCATAACTACTACTAGCTGAAAGAAAAAAAATGGAGTAGAGAAATTTGCAAACAATAAAGAACACAATGTAGTTATACCAAAGCTTCAATATTTTCATAAAGATATACACTCATTCTTCTCTGGTCTTATTAAAAGGATCTTAGGGTGATAAATTTTAAAAAAGGCAGGCTGTAGATATGGCTCAATGGTTAAGAGCACTGGGTTATCTTGCCTGTCTGCAAATCTAGTTCCAGGGCTTCTGACACTGTCACAAGGACATACATGAATGAAAAATACCAATGAACATTTAAAAAATATATTAAAAAAAAAAAAACTAAAAAGCTTGGTATAAAGGGGAAAATCTCCACACAACAATTATCATGATTCCTTTTATCAAGAGAAACCAGTTCTCCATCTGCCTCGTCCTGACATGGCCCTCATTCCTCATTAACACCACAGAGGCTCCTGGAGTGTTCAGATAGCCTGGCAAGCAACAGGCTGCTTATAAGGTGGCAGAATGACATTATTTCCCCAGCCCAAGCATTATCTATGCCAGTGTGGCTCATATACACTGTGGCTCACAGACAACAGTGTTTAGAGAAAGCAAACAAATACAACAGTAACAGCAAGAACAGGAGCACACCACCTACCATGGAAGATGAGCCGCATCTTAGCTTAGCGGTAAACCCCACCCAGTTCCACAGTCTTTGCAGAGCTGAGGAAAGCTGAGACTGGAGTATGCATGCTGGAATCAACCCAGACAAGCCAACCACTATGACCAAGAAGTTTGGGTAATTAGATGTGGACAAGAGTTGCTTCACTCATAGTGGGCAGGAGCTGAAGGCTCAGTGACCATGGCTAGCTGATATCAACTGCCTGCAGGTAGCAGCCAGATAGAACAGAAAGTGAGCACATGTTTTTGACCCCAGCAAGATTCACCTTCACGTAGAGCCTCTAAAACACTGAACTTGAGATATCTGGACTTTTTCTTTTGAAGACTTACAGCTCCCCAGTGTCTGGAAAGGATATTTTACATATGGGAGGCCTCAACATGTCCCATGGTAAATACGGGATCTTAAGGCTCCTAACTCTCATTCCATCACAAAAGATTCTATTTTGTGTTTTAACACAATGTTTAAGTTCAACTTTCAGAGCTTATTCTTCAAGAGCAAATACACTGAACTGCACCTGTCTGTCTGAAAACAGGCGAGTCCCACCAATGAGTCTCTGAGGCATATCTACCCATCCAACTCCTGCATAAACACCATGTGCCTACTATGCTCCTGGTGTGTTGTTACTGGGACAGAACTGTCTTCACGGAGCTTAGGATCCTTCAAAATGACACCTTTAGTAGGTGTGACCATCAGAGGGTGAAGGAACCAGGGCTGTAAGTGGGAGCCAGCTAGTCTGTTTCAGGCAGAAAGAACAGAAAGGCCCCAGCCCAGAGGTCAGAATGACAGTCAGAGAACTGAAAGATGGGCCTGAACAGTGAAAAAAAAGAAGTGTGTTGAGAACTGCAGAACATTCCTGCTGGCAGTAAGGACTACTGGCCATTTCCTTACCTAGTACCACATTTGGATTCCCTCTTTGCTTCAGATTTAAAGACACTTTTAGAACAAGCATGAGTATCTGACTATAAAGAGAAGCGTTATTTGCTTTGACACAGGTCTCCTTGGGAGACCTGTTTAAGAGAAATTAAAATGTCTGAACAATGTGAGCAGGGCCACTCTGCTATGGACACTGGGAAATGATGGCATCCAGGTGAGGTTTCTGCATAGGCCTTACAGTAGATGGGAAAATACACACCGAGACCCACAAACAGAATTCTAAAAGAAAACAGACTCTATTACTTTTGAATTGAACACGAAATTGGAATTCCTTAAAAAGTAACTGCAGTAAATGAGGCATGCAGATAGCTAAATGTCAGTTTCCACCTAGCACTAGCTTGCAAGACTTACTAAGTTCACTGTGCAGTTTCTTTACTGTATATACAGGAATTTCTCCAAGAGCCATTTGTAAGTTATGTCACCTGAATGGCATAGGAAGAGGAGGTATTTTAATCTTGGGAGGGAGTAACAGCTAAGGAAAAGTGGATCCCTAGAGAGGTGGGGAACAGGGAAGGCATGAATTTTCGATCTCAAAACAGCATTAGAGATGCCCAGTGAAAAGGTGAGGTATGTGCTGGAGGCTGGCTACAAGACAGGTTGGCAGACTGAGGCAAATGAACTGGCCTGAAGCTCCTATGAGCATGATAGCCTCAGACAAGAGCAGACAGACCCTGCCAGGTGCTTTGACTTTTTTTTAAGGTGAGTGAGTATAGGCACCTTGTTGTGCAAAAACTTTCTCAGTTCCAAATACCCCCAATAGCTGTTATTTACAAGTTTTTGGTTGATAAAGTCACCTTTTCAGATTATAGCTGCCACTATTAGTGAGCAAATCACCAAGTTTTCTCAACAGTGGCAGCCAGTACCATGTGGCACAGCCAGGTGGCAATGCAGAGGTCCAGGTGTGCCAGCTGTCTAAGAAGTTGGACACAGGACAAACTGTCACAGACACCTTCAGGCATGGTACTGTACACCTTTAATCCCAGGACTCAAGGGGCAAAGGCAGAGGCAGGACGATCTCTGTGAGGTCAGCAAGAACTACAGAGTAAAACCCTGTCTCAAATAACAGCAACAAAAACAGGAATTGACCCTAATACAGAGAAGAGTGACACTTACCGTGCAGAGTAAGATTCCTGTTCCGGAATGTGAGAACTCGTGAAACACAGAGGTCCTTTCCTGCAGGAACAGGAAAAGCCAGATAAACTCTTGAGATATATGCTAACATGTGGGTTTAAATCAATTTTCTTTGTTCTAATTTTTTCCCCCCTGGGCTCAGAGAAGTTTAGCAGCAAAGAGGAAGTACCTTCTTCACATCTTATGAGATGTACTTGCATTGACTGAAATCTCTGAGACCAAGCAAAGCAGTAGAGCCTTGTGAACAGCCCATCTCAACAAGCTAGTAAAATGGGGCACTGCCTCAAATGTCATTCATTAGCACCAGCAAATAAGGCCCCCATTTAAAATATTCTAATGCAGGGCTTAAAACTTTCCTCAATCAAGTCCAGTTTTTATCTAGAAATTACGCAATGTGGGTGAATAAATTAGGCACACAAGTTAAACATTTATTGCTAGTGTACCACACAAATATTTATTGATTTATTTAGAAGTAGGGTCTCACTATGTAGCCCTGGCTGTCTTGGAATTCACTGTAGATTAGGCCTGCCACTGCCTCAGGAGTGCTGACATTAAAGATGGACACCCCTATGCTGAATTGAAAAAGTTAATTTAAAAAATAATCTCTTGAGCCAGGCATGTTAAAGAATATATATAATATATATAATCCCAGTACTTAGGAGACAGAGGCAGGCGGAACACTACAAGCCTGAGGCTAGCCTAGTCTACATACCAGAGTTCCAAGCAACACTGGAACTGAAAGTGTACCTAAAAAGTATGACAGAGAAACCAAACCAAAAAATAAACCCCTGAATCTTTGCTAGGGATGCAACTTCACCATTTATTCAAAACTAAAAGAAATATGTGTACTATTGAGTCGTATGTGTTTGCTTACATGCTGAGTACCTGATTACAGAACAAAAAACATCAGCAGTTATTTTTCAGAGCTGAGAACACCAACTGCATGAAATGGTGAACACATGCTCAATCTTAGTTTAGAAGTGTTTTCTTGCCTACAAATCTGAAGACCTGAGTTCAGGCCCCAGAAACTTCATCATGTCTTTCAACAAAAGCTGGGCATAGTGGCACACACTTGTAATCCCAATGCCAAAGAAGTAGAGACTGGCCTTTTAAAGGGCAGAGAGTTTCTGAGGAACAGCCCCTTACCCTCATATACTATAACATACCTACACACATGAAATTGCTGAAAATTATGTCCTATTTCAAGCCAAAATTCACTTAATGATTGATTTTATATGAAACCCAAGCTAACAACTTAAACATCAATTTCTAAAACCTAACATTTTTAAACAATGCAATTTAAAGATATATTAATTTGATACTTACATGCTAAAAATTAAGATAGCAAAATATTATAAAGGGTTGTTTTCCATAATTAGACCATTGTTTTCTATAAGAGAATATGGTTTTGTCTGTACAGCACAAACACTGCAATTCCACACAGAGCAGCCTGAGCTGAAGTTTTGGGGCAGCTTTCATTTGTGTTGTGTAGCATGTGCAGTAAGTACAAAGTACACACACTGCATGTTCAAAACCAATGTTCTTGAACCTTTTGTGTCACTGTGTTTTCACAGCCTCCTATATGCTGTTTAGGAAGCTGTGCTTCAGAGGAATAAAGAATACAAACTTTTTTCCTACAGGTCTTTACATGAATGATGACCTGGGTTTGGTGCCTGATATCCATGTCCAAAGTTACTTGCAACCCCAACACTGCTGAGACAGGCAGACAGATGCCTGGGATTTGCAGGGCAGACAGTATAGCCTAACTGCTGAGCCCTGAGTTCCAATGAAAGACCCTAATCAAAAGGTAAGATGAAAGTCTCCTGAGGAACCACACCCAAGGTGACCTCTGGACTGCACAAATACATGTATAGATAGCTGCACCTATACTTACAGGAACAACACTCACATCAAATTCTAAAATTACCAAGCCAAGGTTCACTTACACTTGTAATCCCAGTACTTGGGAGGTTAAGGCAGGAAGACTTCTCTGAGTTTAAAGGCAGTTTGGGACACAATTTGAAATCTAGGCAAGCCTAGGCTACAGAGTAAGACCCTGTCTCAAAAGGACAAAAATACTGATAATAATTATAAGCTAATATTATGTTATAATTGTAGAAAATATATACTTTATATTAAAGGAAGAAAATAAAAGTCAGCGTGCACTGAAAAATACCATCAGCACCAGTAACACCTCAATATTTCCTTCTCTATGGCCAACAAAGTCAAACATGTGATTTATAAACATGCTGCTTCACAATATTGTAATGTGCTTTAATCATGCACCAATTGAATGTAAGCACCTTAGCCGATAAAAATCCAAAGACCATAACATCTCATGCACTCAAATATGATTCAGCCAATCAGAGACAATTGTATTACATGACCAGTGTTTTGTTACCAGGTGAGCGAGCCTCTTTTAAATAAGTTTCTGTGCTCATCAATGGCTCAAGTTAATTTTTAAACAAGAGATCCATGGGGGCAAAGGTGAATGAATCCTGAGGCTTCAGCATGAATAGAGCAAACAACAAGTGTGCCTCTAGGTTGCAGTGCAACACACTGTTGAGATCTGGCTCTTAACAACTGCCATTAACAGATAAAATACAAAATCTACTAACAATGCTGAAAGGATGGCTCCCTGTGGCATAGCTCCACTGCACCATGGTCAACAGTTCTGATCATACGTGGGTGTGTACTCTATCCCGTGGCTGCAAACCCAGGGCACACCACACTCAGGGAACCATCAAGCAACACAGCAGTAGAGGCTTTTCAAGTCTCAATGTAAGTAGGAGAGGTTAAGGAATTCGCCTGTAGGATAGGCTCATAGTTGCAGGAGAACAGGGTGTGTAGCAGGGTCCAAGCTGGATGGAATGGACATATGGTACATGGTCTCTGTAATACTTATTACTGTATCATTGACACAAAACCAGAAAAAGTAAAAGTGTGAAATGTTTTAGAGACTAGATGTGATGCATTCATATATGGGATAAGAAAAAATGCCTACCAAACACTTGGGCTTTCATTACTACTGTAACACATCTACACACAGCAAGTCTCTAGTCTTCTAGGATGGCCACTCCCAGGTCTTGGAGTAGTCCCCGATATCACACTAGGAAGATGCAACTGGAACTGTTTGGAATTAGTCTAGAAAAAGACAATTAACTCTGATGGATATAGGACAAGAGGCAGGGATACTACCTTCTGCCTTCTTTGTAGCTTATGGGAAGTCTGTGAAGACTGAATACTAACAATTATTAAGTTTCAAGGAATGTTGAACTATCCCTAAGAAAAATAAATACCATCAACAGATGATTGCTGAGCACTCACTACATGCCAAGCTCATCTGCATGAACTAGGCGGTAAATCAACCCTATGAAAGAAACACCACCATTGCCTGACTCTGAAGAGCTGGAGACAGGCACACAGGATTTAAATCTCAAGTCAGAGAGTAAACAACATAGGCAGAATCAGAGCACAAACAGTCTGTCCCAGAAGGCATACCATGCAGGACTACTATAACACCCATGAGATGGATAGTCTGAGATCATTTGCCTAGGGATCTTTCCTGATCTACTGGAAACCCCAAGAATTTTCAGGTCCGTGTAAGTTACTCAGCATCCTCAGCCACCTCCTGCAGAATGGCTCTGAGACTGGCAAGCACCCAGAGTATTAAAAACCAAGTTTAAAACAAAACCCAAAACCACACATGGTACCCAAGAATAAAACCAACTGACTCAACCAATCAGGGAGCAGAAGGCATAATAGAAAACTAACAAAGGCTAGAATATTCTGTGACTTCTATATATCTACAGGCAAAGAAGATGTGTCCATGAGTGACCTTCAGGAAGGTCATTTATCTGGGCCCCATTTCCTTAATTGTTAAAGCCCAAGAACAAAACCATGAGGGTATGGACTTGTTTCCAATCACCTCAGACCTCCACCACCTCTTTTAGCTCTCAACATTAACGGGTCTATGCTATCCTGACTTTCAGCTTTCTAATTTTCTAAGATGCCCGAAACCTCATCACAAGATGGCTCTTATTTCAAATCTATGTACCATCTAGGAAGAAGATGCCCATCCCATAAACCACTCAACTCTCAAAGGATGACCTTGTTAAGAGCCTAGGAGTGAGGCTTACACAGAACAACTAAAGGCAGGAGAGAGTATTCTTCAGGAAGCTCACTCTACAGGGAAGAAGAGAGTCCAAAGCCTTTTGGTACGCAGTACCCTCTCCCAGCCCAAAGTGCTCACAGAGTGCAGCGCTGTGTCTTGTTGACAATGACAGCCGCCGTGCTCAGCGGTACCATATGGGATCCACAATTTAGCTCCATTAATGCTCTTAATTTGAAGACATCAAGCCCTAATTACACACTGGGTACTAAAAAGGCAAAAGCCTTCCCTGGTGCCAGCTACTTAGTGCTACTCAGTTGCTGTAACAGCTGGCTGAGGTAGACACAGGCCAAGCGGGGCTATGAGCTCTCTCAGGTGGAAGAGGCAACTCCAGAGCAGGAGCCCAAAGAACAATAGGCTCCCTCACCAGCATCTACCAGCAGCTCCTCCATTTTTAGCTGTTTTTTTTTCCCCCTGGCCCAAGAGAGCCTGAAAAGGACATAAGTACACCAGGACTCTCTATCTACTAGGCTCATGGCATGTGGGGTGGGGAAAAGAGGGCTCACCTCCTGCTCCATGTTGCCGTGCAGCCGATGGAATTTCAGTGGCCAGGAAGCAGATGGTAGCTGCTCTGAAGTGGGAGCCCCTGAGCGGCAAGACAGGGTGTGAACGAAGATGCTGTAGTGGAACTCTACCAGCTCACAACTTGAGAAAAAGACAATCATCTTCTGGTCCTTTTCAAACTACACAAACACAAGGGGAAAGCAAGCACATGTCTGTAAAGCATAGACTACCCTAAAATAAGAATGTCTCTAAGGTACATGTTCCCACCAGGCTCTGATTTGGAAACACAGCAACACAGCCTTCAATTATTAAAAAATACCAACATTGATATTCCACTCCACAAAGACAACAGAAAGGAAAAAGATAAGAGCTCCAACCTCAAAGAGAAAGACAAATGTACTTTAGAGTAAGCTGTCCCTTATACTTTAGGCCTGTCAACAATCAGTAACTCCTGGCCACAGTCCCAATGCTCAGTGACTCCTAAAACTACTAACTCATATCCCAGAGTCACCCCATGAATCTGGTAAGTAAATACACCTGGCCTAAGAGTCTGCTAGTAACACCTCACTCCTGAATGCCTCTGTCATCTATGACTTTCCCCTAATGTTAGTCCCAACAAGGTATATTCAAATTTAATGTGATAACCCCCACCACCCTTAACTTGGGTTCTTTCCCACTGTCTAATGTGTGCGCGCACACACACACACACTCAGAACAAAGTTAACAGCCCCTTTCCTTTCTTTTTTTTGGGGGCCTTTCCTCACTGCACAAATGAAATATGTATTATTTCCCTAGATATGACCAGATCTAAACCACAGTCCTACCTTGCACTTCTGCAGGATGAAGGCTGCAAGGCATACAAGGCGCAGCTTGCTGGGAACCAACACTACATGCTGGTCAAGACTCTCTGGTATGGCAAAGCTGTCCAGTTGGGCACTAGCATCTTCCTTAGGATTGGGCTGGTCCCAGATTTTGTCCAGGACAGAGATACTGACTGGATTGTGCAAACTGATATCAGCTAGCCGTGTTACACCTTGGATACAGTGAAAAGAACAAAACAGGGTGGTCACATATTCATCCCCAGAGCACCCACCCAGGTTTTTCAGGAAAGTACAGCCATGACCTACTCTATTGCCATGTTGGTGGGGTAATCCACAGCCTAATGCCCATCTATGCTAGCACTTCTAATGCTCTCATCAGATATCTGTACCTCACTTTACCAAAAATTCTTTGGTCACCACAAAACCTTAGATTAAAATAGTTCCACAGATTCTTGGCTATAGGTCTTCTTAGGGTCTTTACTGAACTAATGTCTACATTCCCCAAATTTATTTGATTACAGAATCCCTTTTCTGAAGATTATCTCTAAAGGCTATTGTTCCTTCGTAACACTTTCAAAGTCACACACAAATGGCCCCTAACTCATACGTATCATATTGTGGCCTAGAAGATCAACGAAACCACACATGGTCATGAGAGCTCTGGTTATGTCTACACACTGATTCTTTACGCAGGGTGAAACTGGTGAAGTGGTTCTATTTTCAAAGCCTTAGTTTCCCATATGCAAATCAGCCAATAATTTCTTACAAGGGTAGAGCAGTCAAGGAGCTAGGGAATGTGGTCTCGTAATGAAATAGGAGGAAGGTTACTCTAAAACTAGTGCTGAGGAGAGAGCATCACAGTGGGACCTGCTTGAGTTCCACCATCAAGCAAAGCCAAATGGTGGGCCAGCCTGCCTCCCAGACCCCAGGTGCTGGGCATACAGGACAGAAATGGCTGTTCCTTCTCCTCCATAAGAGGGGCAGCCACTGGCATCACCCCACAGCTCCTTCTCAACTCACCTTCTGTGAGTGTTGCTGACAGCAAAACATTCTGCCGTTTCTGACACTCAGCATTTACAGCATTCAGAATCACTGTGATGTCCTTCTCAAAACCCAAATCCAAAATCCTGAAGATGTAAGAGAAGTACTTAGTACTTTAACCCAGGCAAGGAGGAAACCTGACACTACCAGGCTACAGAATTGTCCCCGAGATGGTAGGACAAAACAGCCCCGTTCTCCCACCTTCCCTGCTTCCTAGACTAGACTTACCTATCTGCTTCATCCACAACCAGCCACTGTAATCGGCTAAAGTGAATGTTCTTTGTGGATCTTATATGATCCACGAGACGCCCAGGAGTTGAGATAAGGATATTTATGCCTTTACGAAGTCTGTTTAAATCAAGTACCATAAAAGAAAGTATGTCAAACAGTACAGCAGCCAAAATACAAGTAACAGGCAAAGGAGACAGTCATTCATTCGGTGTCCAACACAAATGCTGAAGCCTCAAGTGAAAACCACAGGTGAGATTGCATTCTTCTGTATATAGAACTGCTAAGATTCACTTACACTGAATCATACAAACTTTAAGAAAAGTTTAAGCATATGACCCAATGCCCAATGCTTTTCATCTGATTCACAGATCCTTCTAGAATATCCTGGATAGATGGGCATCTATCTAGCCAATCCTTTTTAAAGTATCTACTTTTTTTTCCTTTTTGATTATTTTTGAGACAGGGTTTCTCTGTGTAGCCCTAGCTGTCCTAGAACTCACTCTGTAGACCAGGCTGGCCTCAGACTCACAGGTCTACCTGCCTCTCGCATGCTGAGATTAAAGGAGAGTGCCAACACTGCCCAGCAAGATCTACTTTTTAAAGATTTATATACATTATAATTTTTTATGTAGTGTATGTGAGTATATACCATAGACCAGAAGACTGCAGTTATAGGCAGCCTATAAGCCACCCAACATGGCACTGGGGACTGAACTCTGGTCCTCTGGAAGACCAAGTGCTCTTGACCACTCTGCAGTCCTTTGTTTTGTGTTTATGTTCACTTGGGTGCCAATGGATCCCAGAGGAATGGTGGATCCCTTCAACCTGAAGTCACAGGTGTCTGTGAGCCACCTGCTGTGGGTGCTGGAATCCAAAGTTTGCAGTAAGTACTCTTAATTTCTAAGCAATCTTTCCAGCTCCCAGGCCAGTTCTTTAAGCCTTCTGTGTGGATTTGTTAGGACAAAATTCTGACTGTTTATTTGGTTGTGGTTTCTTTTTTTTCTTTTTCTTTTCTTTTTTTTTTTTTCTTGAGACAGGGTTTTTTTGTATTGCTTTGGAGCCTATCCTGGAACTCGCTCTGTAGACCAGGCTGGCCTCCAACTCACAGAGATCTGCCTGCCTCTGCCTCCCGAGTGCTGGGACTGACTGTTAGGATACATGTTCTGACTGTAGGACACACGTTTTAACTGTTAAGGACACACACTCTGTTAGAATGTTTTTCTCATATTTGCACCCTCTGGATAGCTGCCATAAAATGGGTCTGATCTTTGCCTCAAAGATGATGTAGACTAAAGCTTACGTCTTTTTAAACTTATTCTTGGATAGATTAAGAAGATAAACAATGTATCTTAGTCATACCTACTACCCCCCACTCTCTATTCTCTCTCCCCTCCGAACTTTCCTTAGCATATTCTTCACATCCTTTAGAAAAAAAAAAAAATCATTAATTTTCCTGTTCCCCAATCATAATCACATTATTCTGTAGCAGAAGACAGAATACAATCTTACTTGGCTAGGTCTTCTTGTTTTCAGTCAAGTATGGCAACACGCCACATTTATGCTTTGTGTGCAATCACACATACACCTCTGGACAGAGGGTCTATGACAATTTTTGTCATTTCAAGCATGAAAGTAAAGTTCAATGGCTGAAGCTCTGGCAATTATCCAAGGCTATGAGGTAATCTTGCAAATGGAAGCTTCCACAAGGACACAGAAAGATGTAGAAGCCACACCTGGAGCCCACTGCTGTTGTGTATAGCTGAATCTAATCTGATCACTGTTTTTAAGTGTCAAACTTTACATTCATTCTCAAGTTACAGACAATTCAAAGAACTGGTGTAACTGCTACAGTGCCATTTACCCATCTAACAACTTTCCATTGCAAGCTCCAATGCAGAACCAGGAATCAATCCACTAAGACCTTGCTAAGCGTTAAGGAAATTATCATTCTGTTTGTTGTTGCTGTTGATTTTGAAGACAGAATCTCACGTAGCCCAGGCTAGTCCTGAACCCAGCATTTAGCTAAGGCTAGCCTTGAAACTCCTGATCTCCTGCCTCAGCCTACCCAAGTGTTAGGATTACAGATGCAGGCCACAAGACCTACCTATTTTCTTGTTTTTATAAATCTAAATAACAACACCAAATTCTCAATATGCACCAAAGGGAGTCACATGCAGGAGTGCATTAAAAAAGGGGGCCCGTGGGGCACCCAGTGGGTGGGTTAAACAGGTCACAGCACTGTCACTAACTGTATCAGAAGGGATCAGTGATAAACAGCACTGTCTAGAGGTGACAGCTGACCTGGCCTGTTTTTGCATGTGGGGACCAGGAGGTACAGAAGCAGAGGAGGCTCTCTTGCATGCTAAAGAACCAAGTTACTAAACAAGACAGAGCAGACAAAACTCCAAGAGGAGTAAACAAACCCACTTCCTACCTAGCTTTTTCCGACTTCCTCTTCTCTCCGCCCATCAACACTCCAGGAACAATCCAGGTGAATGGCTACATAAAAATACCAGACCACAATCAACACAAAGGCCCTTCTCTAGAAGTAGAGCTGGTCCTAAATTCCTAGCATGTGCCAGTGCATAGCAGGGAGCACTTGGCCTTTGTAGTGTGTAAGGAGTTTCTGTGCAGAAGCAGCCTGGTGACACTGAGGTACCTGGGGTTATTAGCTGCAATACTAGAGCAAAAGTACTGTCAGGCAAATGTGAACTTGTAAAATGATCCAAGTAGCTGACACTCCCCCAAACCCCACTTTTTTCCTTATGGTGTCAAAACAGAAAATATATTCCACTGTCTAGCAGGTGGGGTAGGAGAGTAAAAACCTAAGCAATATACTCCCAATTCACTACTAGAACACAGAATGGAAAAATAGACTCCTGGTCAACTTTTGAGTGTTGAACATTGGTTCTGCCGTCTTCTCTCTCCTGAATGCCCTTACAGGTTCTTGCTACTTTCCACTGGGTTACCTGAGGTCTGGTCCTGTAAGTCACTTCAAGTCAAGTGAGCCAACAATAAGAACCTTTAGCATCTACTAGCAAGAGTTATTAGATGAGTGGTGATGGTGCGGGCCTTTTGTCCCAGTACCCGGGAAGCAGAGGCAGTTGAATCTCTGAGTTTGAGGCCAGCCTGGTTTATAGACTGACTTCCAGAGCTACACAGAGAAATCCTGTCTCAAAAAAAAGTTATTGAGGTCTACCAGTAAAACCTACCAACTGTTTTTAGGGAGGCCAAAGGCACATGCACATTGGGAAGATGAGACAGGAGCCGTCCTCACTTTCCCATAACAGACTGTGCCACATGGCTCTTCACTCACAACGTCAAAAAGGAAGATAACACTGCCTCATGGCTTATCTTACCTTGAGCAGCTTCTGGACAGTGTCAAAGCTCTGCAGAGCAAGCTGTAAGTATTAAAAGTTGGAGACAGTGAGCAGGGCCCTTGCTTCCTTTTTATACTTTTAAAGACAAGACAATCTAAACTAATCAGGGTGCAACCCTGTATGGCACATAGAGAATCGCCCTGAAAATGTTCTCTTTTTAAACAAGCACTGGAATCTGTCAATTTAGGGAATGAGGGTGAAGACATCACATATATTTCTTAGATATACAAAAACTAGTGTTTTGTGCTCCCTCTGCTGGCTCAAATTCCCAAAGTGCCATATAGAATAGTTCAAGTGAAAGACAACGGTGGCCTGACAGGCACTTGGGGAACTTGGCAGGCAATCTGAAGATGTAGGTAGTCATTCCTAAGTATACAAAACAAAAACTAGTGAATCCAATGGATATAGGACAAGTAAAAATTAATGTAGGTAACAGTCATTAAAAGGCATCAAATAGCCCAGACAGAATCTTGTTCAGACACAATCTTTTTCAAGGTTATGTGTTATCCCCACATGTTCAGTGTGCGTAGCATTCTAGGGAAGTGACAGGTTTGCTGCTAAAATCATTTCATGTGCTCCTTCCTGGGATAAAATACAGAGGTCACTGTATGACAGGCTGACCAGAGGGGCTGAAGAGAGGGTTCCGCATTTAAGAGCACTGGCTGATCTTGCAAAGTATCCAGGTTCAGTTCCCAACACTCAAACAGTGGCTCAAAACCATCTCTAACTTCTGTTTCAGGGATTAACATCCTGTTCTGACCTCCATGGGCTCTGTACCCATGTGGTTCACAGACAAAACACTAATACATATAAAAAAATATATAAATCTTGGAAGGAAAAGAAAGGAAAGGAAAGAAAGGGAGGGAAGAAGGAAGAGCTATCTGGAAATTTCCATTTTCCTGAAGACATCTAAGTTGCCCCTGTGGACACATCTTGCAGGTCTGACAGAGGTGATTTCTACTTAATGTTCATGAAAAAGGAAAAATTGACAGCAGCAATAGCTTCATTTTAAAAAAAGGTTCAATTTATATATAAATCAGTTAATTTTTAAAAAAAATATTTAAAGTATTCTTTAAAATACTTAAAGTACAAAAGTGCAATTCTGAACCGGGTGGTGATGGCACATGCCATCTCAGTATTGGGGACACAAGTAGGCAGATCTCTGCGAGCTCAAGTTCAGCCTGATCTACAAAGTGAGTTTCAGGACAGCCGGAGCTATTATACTGAAAAAGCCTATCTGGAAAAACAAAGGAAAAAAAAATGCAATTCTTTTCATCTCTTTTGGAGGATCTTTAATTTGAGTATCCTTACACTTTTTTGACAATGAGGAAATGTTTTCTCATGCCTAGCTCAGGGTTTTCAAAGAGCACTCAAACATGAACAGAATGGTTCCCAGAAAGAAATGTGAAGGAAAGCATGCAAAGTGACTTGTTTAACAAACAGGGCAGAAAGTGGAGAAAGCGCTTCAAGTCAACAGGCCATTATAAAGTAGGCACAAACCTTACCTAACAGAAAACTGCTTACCTCTCTGGTGGGCACTAGGACCAAAGCATAGGGGCCATCACTGCGCTGTTGATTAAAAAAAAAAAAGAAAGAAAGAAAAGACATGCCAATGAGTACAGTACCACATCTAGGCTACGGTAGGTCAGTCAAAAGTAATTAGTTTGAAGCCGGCATTAGCTATGTAAGTGCCTGCCTTAAAAGAAAAGAAAAAAGAAGAGATCCCATGAGGAGGACCAATGAAGGTCAGATTGAGACAGATGAGATTTATGGGTGGCCAGCTAAAAACATCAGAAACACTTCTTTAGAAGAGACAAGAATGCCCATTACACCTATGATAGTGTGTGCCAACACTCCTACCCCATTCAACCAAACAGGAAGAAGAAATATGGAAAATTAAAACAAAATTATAATCACAAGGAGATGATGTTATCTTAGAAACTATAACAGAATCAATAAAATATTTCAGTCAAGTAGCTGAATGCAAACTTTTATAAATCAATAGCTAATATGGGGCTGGAAAGATAACCCAATGGTTATGAGCATTGACTGCTCTTTCAGGACTAGGATCCAGTTTTCTACACCCACATAATGGTTCGCAACTGTCTGTAACTCTAGTTCCAGGGGATCCAAGAAATTCTTCTGGCCTCTACAGATAAGCATATATGCAGATAAAACATACTTAAAAAAAAAAAAAAAAGCCAAGTGAAGCACGGTGGTACATACCTTTAATCTCTGCATTTGGGAGGCAGAGGCAGGCGGATCTCTGTGAGTTTGAGGCCAGTCTGGTTACTATAGTAAATTCTAAGTCAGCCAGGGCTATAGTATAGCAAGATCTGTCTCCAAAACCAACAAGAAGCCAGGTCACGTGTAGTAACATATATCTACATTCATTCACAGTGTTCAGGAAACCAGGGCAGTACAGTGAGTAAGAGTGAATTCTAAGCACTAAACCAACCAAAATTCAATGGTCTTCCACATATTAAAAAAAAAATTAGAAACTGCAATGAAAGGACAACTTCACAAAATGGCAACAATAACAACAAAAGATACAAATATTATGTGTGAAATCTATGAGGCATGATGTCTTAATGTTTACAATCTTAACACCTAGGAGGCTGAGGAGGGAGACCTGAGCCTATGGTTGGCCTGGACCACAAAATGAGAAACTTTCAAAAAAAAAGAGAAAAGTATCAAATCTATTTGAAGAACAATTAGAACATACCTGAGGGGCATTTTTTTTTTTTTTAAAGGAAAGATGTATCCTCTCCTTAGAGAAGATTCAATATCACAGTGAGTACTCCCTAAATGAGTTAAAGACTCTAATGGAGTCCTAACAAATGCCACAGGGAATGTGGGCAGTAGAGCCTCCCACAATTCCAAAGTAAGTTACCTTTAAAAGTACAAAAGTCACTAAGAGATTTGTGGGAAACATATCTCCATGAAAGCTATAGCAGTCACAAAGTAGTACTGGCATGTTGAGGTCACAACAGAAACTGGGTCTGGGATAGAATCAAATATAGAAAGACTTATAAAGTGGCCAAGGGCCTAATGGGTATAGTCAACCAAACACCACAGCGCTGGTGGCACACACTGCTAAACTCTGTAACAGATCAACTTTGGCTTTAGCTATTAAAACAAAACTACAAATCTCACTTCCAGGAATTATCCCTACATGTCTACATGTGTGTAAAGGAGCTGGAGAATACTTCCCAGGTGTCCAGAATTTTAACTGTTGTTTTTTGGACATGATGTATAAATACCACTTGCCAATATAAGCATGGCTTAGTATTTATGACACACACATAATGGGAGGCAGAGGGAGGAGCAGGGATCTAAGCTGGGAGAGATCCTGTCACAAAGCAGCAACACAAGCAAGCAAGCAACAACAAGGACAGGTCAGGTCAATGTGGCACAGTGAGAAACCACCCAAGGCATGACAAGGATAGCACAGCTGCCATCCCAGGAAGACTGAGTGAGGGTGGCCTGGACCACACCCTGTATCAAAAGTGACATCATATGTAAACATCTGTGTGTTCAGAACAATCCAGAATCAAATGACTCCACATAAAAAGGCAAAGAGGAAGTGTGCTGTCAGTCACATTTGATGGATGTGACAGGCTGTCCCTAGGAAGAGACACCCTGCATAGGAGGCATACTGAGCCTCTGTTTCCACCATATAGATCCTTGGAATTCTTTGAGCATTTTAACTTTTTGGACATGGTGTATCTAAACAACAATAATAAAAATCCAAAGCAATGTAAAGAAGGTACTATGCCATTGGTGCCTTTCTCATCAAGGGCTCAGAGAGCATGATCAACTTGTGAGAATGAAGGATGGGCTCAGCAGCAAATCCAATTAGAGTTTGGCTTTCATGTTCTGCATTGGAAACATTTACTCAGGAGAGGAGGATTTAGAATTCAAACCTGAGTAGTCTATACTCAATACCAACTTTGTGAGACTGCACTGGAGCCCCAGCAAGGAACAGTAAACATGCTAGTACAACAGGATTAATGTGTCACCATGTGATGATAGGAGATTCTGACATTTCAAAAGGTGTTACTACACAAACAAGAAGATAGAAACATCAATTCCTTACAGGGAACGAGTACATGGAAACAGAATGGATGTGATGTTAAAAAATCAGGGCCAAAGCCAAAAAAAAACTGGGAGAAAGCAGACACTGAAGATGTCTACACCATGCCAGTCCCTTGGCAGGGCTCAGGCCAGGGTCTAGGACTAGCTGCTTACGGCTTCCAGGTCACAGCATTTTATGATGAATTACAAGGGACTTTACTAAATACAACTAGAAAAAGTGAAATAAGCTGAGGTTTACAGGGGATAGATGGCTCTGCACATAAGAGGCTTGTTGCTCTTTCATTCACACACACACACACACACACACACACACACACACACACACACACGGTGGCTCACTGTATTTCTAGTTCTAGGAATCTGATACCTTCTTCTGACCTCCACAGGAACCAGGCATTTTGAACATACATACAGACAAAACACCCATACATATACAATAAAACATAAATATTCAAATTGGAACTTATAAAAACATTTATGCTTTTTTTTAAGACAGGGTCTTGATTGTATAGGTCAAGCTGTTTTTTAAACCACCATCCTTCCAATGTGTCACCATGTTTAGTTTGGAAAATCATTTTTTGTTTGTGGTTTGTTTGTTCAGTTGGTTTTTTGGGACAAGGGTCCTCTGTGTAGTAGTCCTAGCTATCCTGAAATTCACTCTGTAGACCAGGCTAGCCTGCTATTACTATTACCTCCAGAAGCACGGGATTAAAGGAGTTCACTACTGTGCCCAGATCAGAAAATAATTTTTACAGAACATTTTGATCTTTGGTCTTAGTAATCTTGAGCAAATATACAACCACACGGCCTATTAATACCTATGAATATAGCAGATCCAATCACTGTTGTTTGAAATAGTCACATGACAGTGTTGATGACAGGTAATATCTAGGGACCAAATCCAGATGCTAGATCTCAACACTTCACATGAGCAGCTCACTCTGTCTTGTCATAACCCTGGAAACAAAGCATACAAGTATCTGCCCAGTTATATTTGGGGCAGGAGAGAATGTCATGACAGAGAATTAATTGAATGCGCACAGGCCCTCGGCTCAGTCTCAGCATTTGAAATAAAAATAAAACCACCGCTTAGGCTAGGGTGTGAGCAGAACCTCCCACCTGTCAGATGTGTATGTCATCTAATCTCAGAGCTATAGTTCTGAAAACAGCCTGGTACTGGCACAAAAATAGACAGGTACACCAATGGAATTGAATTGAAAATCCTGATATAAACCCACACACCTATGAATACCTGATTTCCGACAAAACAACTAAAATTATACAATGGGGAGAGGAAAGCATCTTCAACAAATGGTGCTGGCACAATTGGATGATAGTGTGTAGAAGACTGCAGATAGACTCATGTCTGTCGCCATGCATAAAACTCAAGTCTAAATGGATCAAAGACCTCAACATCAATCCAGCCACACTGAACCTCTTAAAAGAGAAAGTAGGAGGTACCCTTGAACAAATTGGTATAGGAGATCACCTCCTGAACATAACTCCAGCAGCACAGACACTGAGATCAACAACTAATAAATGGGAACTCCTCAAACTTAGAAGCTTCTGTAAGGCAAAGGACACAGTGGACAAGACCAAACGGCAGCCCACAGACTGGGAAAAGATTTTCACCAATCCTACATCCGACAAAGGGCTGATCTCCAAAATATACAAAGAACTCAAGAAACTAGTCAACAAAACACCAAATAACCCTATTAAAAATGGGGTACAAGACTGAAGAAAGAATTCTCAATAGAGGAAATCAAAAAGGCTGAAAGACACTTAAGAAAGTGCTCAACATCCTTAGCTATCAGGGAAATGCAAATCAAACTCTGAGATACCTGCCAGAATGGCTAAAATTAGAAACACCAATGACAACTTATGCTGGAAAGGATGTGGAGAAAGACGAACACTCCTCCACTGTTAGTGGGAGTGCAAACTCGTACAGCCATTTTGGAGATCAGTATGGCAGTTCCTCAGGAAAATGGGAATTAGTTTACCACAGGACCCAGCAATTCCCCTTAGACATATACCCAAATGATCCACATCCATGCAACAAAGACATGTGCTCAACTATGTTCATAGCAGCATTATTTTTATAGCAAGAACCTGGAAGCAACCTAGATGCCGCTTAACTGAAGAATGGATAAAGAAGATGTGGCACATTTACACAATGGAATACTACTCTGCAGAAAAAAAAAAAAAATGGAATCTTGAAATTCGCAGACAAGTGGATGGCACTTGAAGAAATCATCCTGAATGAGGTAACCCAGTCACAAAAAGAGGAACATGGTATGTACTCACTTATGTATGGATTTTAGACCTAGAGCAAAGGATCACCAGAGGAACTAGGATACAAGGTATATTTTAAGAGATTCATATAAAGTCCCTCACAGAAGGGGAAAGGGACAAGTCCCCCAGAGCACATGGGAAGTGTGTGGGGGGGGCAATGACTGGAGAGAGAAGTAGGAGAAAGAGAAAGGGAGGAGAGGAAAGCACGTGCGACTAGGAAGTTTGAGTCAGGGTAGGAATAGAAGACAGAAGAGAGAGAGAGAGAGAGAGAGAGAGACCATAAAAGAGGGAGCCATTATTGGTTTGAAGAGAAAACTGAACCTAAAAAAAGGTCTAGAGACCTACAAGACTGCCGCCAACTAACAATGTGAGCAACCGTGGAAAGACTACCATAAATGCCCTTCCCAGATAGTGAGATCAACAATTAACTTATCCACCATCATGGAGCCCTCATCTAGTACCTGTTGGAAACAGAAGCAAACACCCATACCTAAACACTGAGTCAAACTAGAATCCAGATGCAGAGGGAGAGGACAAGACCAGGCTGCAGAAACACATAGAGACAGCTGACCTGAACAAGGAGGAGCCAATGGGCCCCCAGACTGATAGCTGGGAATCCAGCATGGGACTGACTCAGGCCCCCCTGAATATGGGTCTCAGCCAGAAGACCTGAGCAGTCTAAGGGACCTCAGACAGTGGAACCAGGATGTATTCCTGGTGCACAAAAAGACCTTGTGGACACATCCCCCACGGAGGGATATTGCCTTAACCTAGAGACAGGAGAGAAGTCCTAGTCCCTACTCCAAATGACTTGACAGATTTACATGACCCCACCTGGATGGCATTGCCCTACATGTGGAATTGGGGTGGGGAGACAGGAGGGAGGGGTGGTCAGGGTGCACGTGAGGGGGCAGAGAGGTTAAGAGGGAGAGAGGAAAGGAGGGAGGGAAGGGGAACTGGGATCGACATGTAAAATAAAAAAAGAAAGAAGGAAGGAAGGAAGGAAGGAAAGAAAGAAAGAAAAAGAAAACAACAAACAAGCAAACAAATATCTTTTACTAGAAAGTTATCCAAGAATCTTAAGGGTGAGATTTGGCCACAAACATTAGGAAGTTACATTCATTCTTCTCTGACTGTATGCTAGGGACAAGGCTATATGCACTGTACATGAATCAGCTCTCCATAAAGTTCTTAATGGAGGAAAGTCATTTACCCTTGGAAAATAGAATTCCTCACTTCTTTCTTACCAGAGGGCTGGGGGGGGGGGGAGATAGGGGGGTGGGAGGGGGGTGGTTTAACAATTTACTGACCTACAATCATATACTGTCTTAGTCTCCTTTCTACTGCTATGATAAAATACCGACCAAAAACAAGTTGGCTTAGTTTATAATCCATCATGAAATGAAGTCAAGGGATCAACCTGGAAGCAGGAGTTGATGCAGAGGCCACAGAAAAATATTGCTCACTGGGTTGGTCCTCGTGGTTTGCTCAGCATACCTGCCTAGGATTGACACCACTCTCAGTGGGTTGGGTCAACCCATGTCAATTATTAATCGACACAACGCCCCCACAGACTTGGCTACAGGCTAATCTGATGGAGGCAATTCCTCTGAGATTCCTTCTTTCCCAGTATGTCTAAGTTTGTGTCAAGTTGACACAAGTGAGCATACGTACGTGCACACACAAAGCACTAAATGGACATTAGATTTGAGGGGAGCAGGGGTTGGAAGGAAAAAGTAGGGGGCACAGAGGAGGAACCAGAGCCAAACATATTATATGCATATATGATATATTAGATAAAATATTTAATTTTAAAAATTCCTGAGAAAGACATGGTGGCACATATCCACAATCGTAGTACTTGGAAGGCAGAGGCAAGAAGATCAAGAGCTCAAGCTTAGCTACATAAGACCCTTTCTCAAATGACAAAAAAAGAAAAAGCCCACAATTTACTAGTGTCATTCTAGTTTGCTATGAGTCACAAGACAAACTATCATTTGCGAAACCACAGTCACAGTATGCAGCTCTGTGGCCTGCATTTCTTCAGCTAACAAAGCAGGAACACTTGTTAAAGTCTACAAAGTTATAAAGAAACTCCCCTTTTAGACACATTTTAACCTATTCATTTTAAAAGCTCAGGTTTTTACAAAAAAAAAAAAAAAGTAAAAATGGACAAGTTATACAACTAACTCTGATATTCTCAACTTCTATTTGTTATCATTTAACTACAGTAATTACCAAAACCAGAAAATGAGCACTACAGACCTCATTCAATCTCATCAACTGACTTCTAGGTGTCTGTATCCCCCAGGCCCCATGAGTGTCACTGCCATGCTTCCTGTCATGCTCTGTGACAATTATTCAGTATTTTTCTTTTATGTCCTTAACACTCTCAAAGACTTCGGGCCAAGAATTTGTCTCTTGTTCCCTCGAGATTAAACTAGTTTTAGGCAAACAGCAACAACAACAAAAACAAACTATGCAAGTAACATGTCCTTCTTAAGACTGGCTAAGGAGTGGCAGCCGGTGCTTCCTGTTACAGTTACCATCTTTGCCATCTGTTCAGAAACCCAAGGATGGCCACTTGAAGGCCACGGAGATACCATTTCTCATCTCACTGTCAATTACTCACATCAGTCCCTGATGATCCATGCCAAAAACAGCTAACCAAGCGCTGGCTATTTCAGCTCCTTATTTATCTTCTCTTCTATTGATCCAAGAATGTGCTCTACAATGCAACAGCACACTACTACATTCTGATCATTTAAATCTGAGGCACGTCCACATCTACATGTCTGAAGTGAGTCCTCTGTCAGTATGCACTCACCCAACATCCTATCTCTGATCTCATCATTGCACCTGTGAGTAATGGCATTGCACCTGTGAGAAAGTTTGGGATTTAAGATGAAGTCTGTGCTTACATTAGCCAACTGGGCTTCTTAATCCAACTATAGCTAGTCTGGTCCAGGCATTACCCGTGTTTCACAATTAAGAACAAATTTTAGATAATGTTGACTATATAGCATCCCGACTGATAAACCCACTAATAGGCATTCAGTTCCACTCAGTACTGATAAACCACCATGTTAAATACAAAGCACAGCTATCCTCACTCAAAAGGAAACAGACTGGAGTCTGTATGGCTGTCATTTAACTCCACATGATGTACAACAGATACCCAAGATATGAGACTATATGGATGGGGCCTCTGCAGTAATTCTGCAGGAGGACCAATGCCATGTACTGTACAAGAAAAAGTCAAGGCCCCCTAACAAGGCAGGAGCTATCAACAAAGCTTCACCACAAATCATGGCCCAGATGACAGAGCTTGCTCTCTGGAGTCACACAGAAATGAGATGTGGATCTAAGCCCACTGGTTCTTCTATGTGGCCTTAGTTATTTTACTTGCCTACACCACTAGGGTCATAGTAACCACCACAATTTGATGGGTAGAAGATGGGAGTCAAGCAAATGATATGCAGACAGCACTTGGCACATCTGGCACACTAGAAGCATTCTACCCACATGCTCTATACATAGACAGTGGTGATTGTGATATCTTTATTATACTCCACTCTTGGCACACTCACACTTAGTTTGATAGGAAGAGAGAAAACAATGGTAAGTACAGACAGACCCTACAACTCTAGGGTCTAACTGGGCAGCAGCATGAGCACAACAGACCACAGCAGAGAAACACATTTTCTGCTCACCTGTATTTTTGATGTCAGTGCTTGAAGAGACTGGACCACAGGGATGCAATAGGCAAGAGTTTTACCTTTAAAAAAAAAAAAAGTGGCATCAGTGGGGATGCAAATAGTCTCTGCTTTCTATAAATAATGCTAAATCTGGGAGAAGGTAAACTGTGTGTTCTACATCTAAGAGGCACTTCACCTGTCTGCCAAGACACCTAACTTTGTTTTGTAACACCCTGAAGCTTCATCTCCTTAGGTTATCTACAAGGGAGGTGTAATGATGTTTTTCAAATTAGACAAAAGCTCAACCTCACAGTCGTCCATGGAAGCTAGGTTCTTCCTCTGTTAAACAGTTTCTGTGGTAGTGCTGGTGTGCCAAGTATGAACCCAAGCCAGCCTCTGAAGACAGAAAGATTAAAGGAAGCTGTGGGCTTCTCTTCAACATGGCTGAGCTGGCAAGAAAGTAAAAATGGATCAGAATGACAGAACAGGCAGAAAGCGGTCTGTCTATCCCTGACATCGACTGTGCTCAGGCCAGACTGCTTTCAAGCCATAAATAGTCACTCTATCCATAGTGAAAACCAACCTGGCCACTGTGGATGGCAGTAGGCACACAGAAACAGCAGAGCTCAACTATGAATACTCCCTCATCACTATTAATGAGGGAGTAACCTTCAGTTACAACTTTGGGCCTTCTATCAAAAGCAAGAAAGGCCACCCTCCCCAGAAAAGACAAAACAGACTATGTGACCACAGACACCTTCCTAAAGAGCCTAGCACATAATCATGGGCTAGGTGCCTTGGGATAAGGGGCAGAGTAAAAAGCAACTGACCTGAGCCTGTCTGGGACCGCACAAGGGCATCTCTGCCTTCCAGCAGCACTGGGATACTCTGCTTCTGAACACTGGGGCACCCAAAAGAGAGAACAAACCTCTTCTTTACCACATGGCTCAGTCACGCATGCAGGCAGATACACATGTTACTCGACTTGCAAATACCTGGTGTTTGGCTCTGTCTACTTACTGCCCAAAGTTATTTCATTGAGAGAAAGTGCTGAGAACATTCCAGTGACCAGAATGAACTTAAACTTCTGGAACTTGGCTGAAAGAGGGGAAGTAAGCTAGAGACTGTAGGCTGAAATATTAAAAATTAAAACAAAACAAAAAAACTGGTGGGGCATGGTGGTGCATGCCTTTAATCCCACCAGAAGCAGTAGATTCACTACTGTGAGTTTGAGGCCAGCCTGATCTACAAAGTTGAGTTCCAGGACAGCCAGGGCTACACAGAGAAAAGCTATCTTTTTGCAAAAAAAGAAATAGGATAGGCATAACAAATCAGAGTATACTATACACCCTCCTGCCCGCTGTTCAACATGGGATTGGGAACATGTAACACAGATTAAGACTTCCACACAGAAAAACAAAAGAAAGCTTGCAGGCCATCCAAGTAGCAGCAGCAGCAGCTCCCTCCGTAAAATGGCCACACATACTGAGAACACTATCAATATGTACATTGACTCCCAAGACCAAAATGGATAGAGAATTCATTTAAATTTGGTTCAACCAACAAACAAACCAAGCCAGGCAAGGTGCATGTGCCTTTAATTCTAACATTTGGGAAGCTGAGGTAAGAGGAAAAGAAGTTTGAGGCCAACTGAGCTGGGCTAGGCTATGAGACTATCTCAAAAACAAAGGCAAAGCAAAATGGAAAAAGCTGGTGGTTCTTTAGTGCTTTTTACTTATGCAAAGTGAACTATGACTCTACAACTCACTTTACTCTTTATACTTTAACTCTGAATTTCTCTCTTATAAGTGTCTCTGAGCAGCAGGCATTTAGAATACCTTTTCAGTATCCCACTGCATCCGAGCAAATATTTACCCCCATTTCTTGACTGACCTCATTTTTACTGCTAAGAAATAACATGATCAAATGCTGTATTTTGGCCCAAATCATTTTCAGAGAAGCCCTAATGTCAGATGTCCCAGCTCTCTTGCAGTAGGGAGCTGAATGCAGAAATGGAAAGAAACCTGGTCTGCCTGCAAGCAGGTGGGAAGCCCCATAGACTAAGTGTCATGTCATGTCCTTTAGCAGCCTGTGTTATTCCCAGCACCAAGACACAAATGTGTTCTGCCCTCCATGAACAACTGGAATTTTATCTGGTTGTATTCATGAAATCCTAAGTAAAAACTAGAATAGCCTCTGCCTCTTACCTGGTCATACTCGTCATTTTTAAGACTGTATTTATTGTGGAAATCTAAAAGAGAACAGAAAAATAAGTATATCGATTTAATGCAAATGTATTAAATAACATAAAAACAAAAACAGTGGGGTGACAACAGCACTTGATATTTATGATATTAAATTCCAGTATTTGCAATGGGAGGGGGGTTGTGGGGTTCTGCCCTCAACCCTATAGAACCTGGAGGACTTTTGGTTTTTATAGGTGGGTTCCTAGTTTGTAGAATTATGATGCTATTACAAACTGACAATGTACAAGGCAACCCTCACAACTCATCACCTAACCATCTAACACACAGGCTGAGAAGCAATCCTTCACAGCCTACCAAAAAGAGAATCTAGGCTTCAAAGGGTATGTGTTTTTCTCTCCTTTTTCACAGTAACTAGAAAACTCACTCATGGTATTAAATAAAAGGGGAAAGAAAGTATCCATTTGCTGGTAGAAAACACACTTTAAACAGCCTCTTCTGCCATCACTCTCCAAAAAAAGTGCATGTCTCTTGGCAGTGAGAAGCCAGCTTAGCTCCCTTCCCAAGGCCACAGAGACATCTACCACCAGTTTCACCACATCCACCAGTAATTAGAAAGCTGCTTTAAGCCCAATAAATGAAGTCCAGAACAGAAACTAAATTGAGTGGGGAAAGTCAGCACTTCTTAAAAAAAAAAAAAAAATCACTGGATAGGACAGCAAGAACAACTATCCAGGATGCCCTAAGGGAATGCCCCATCACCTAAGTTCACTTGGGTAGCCAAGAGCAGAAACAGACTGAACAAGAACACAGACCACAGCACCTGCAGAGCAGGGTGGGACACTTACTAGGTGTGGGTGGAGGTCCAGCTCCTGGAAAGCCTCTGGAGAGAACACTTGCTCTCGAGCTTGCTTTACTACAGCTCTGCAGAGTAAAGACAAAGTGTGCATGAGTGCCAAGGTGGCAAAGGAAAAGGCGGCATCCGTGACTGCTCACACCCAAGGCACACCTGCACAGCAGAACGCACCTGTGGAGTTCTGGGATCTCAGGATTGTTTTTAAACAGTGACGAAGTCTTAATGCATGGCTTCTCTTGTCTTCCACTGCCTGTACTATCCAAGTACTTCTTTGGAGGAAGCGTTTTGTGTGCACTCCCCTTAAATGTCCTTGGAGTTTCTTTATCATTGGTTTTCTTGGCCAAAAGAGAGGATATTTCATTCCTCCGTTTTGCTGGTGGAGCACCACTGGACACTTGGTGCTTTCTCTTGGTAGCCTCTGCTTGCTGCGTTGTTCCCAAAAGGAAAGATCAAGAAGAGGTGCATTAGTCCATGAAGACAATCCTCAGAGTGAAGCCTGACTGCCCACAAAATGTATCTCTTCCTGCAGAGATCATTATGCCCCATATGCCAACCATCAGTTTAGGGTTTACAACCAGATTCTTTGGCTTCATCTGAAATGAAGTGGAGGAGGGGAGAGACGCACAATCTCAGTCCATTCATCTATAAGACCTCCATCCATCTAAACTTATAAGTCACCAAAGATGAGAGTGGGGATCATGAAGACAGAAAGAAGTGTCCTGCCAGCTGACATTAACCAATTCAGTCTGTTCTAAGGAAGCAAGAACCTACCTTGTGAAGCATAAATGTTTACTAAGTTAAACCACACTCCTAGGAATACATTTTATGTGAGAATAGAGGGGAATGAAATCTGTTCTTTTTTACTAATAAAGCATGTTCAGAAGAGACTGAAGGGGTGAATGGGTGTTGAATCCTAGCTCATGCCCAGGAAGCGGAAACTATCATTACTGTCCTTCCCTAGGGTTTGGATCTGTCATCCTCTCCCCTAAAGCTGCTCAGATTCAGATGGTCTGGAGTCAGTTCCTACTTGCAGTCCCCACTCCAAATGAGAGTGCCACTCCATTCATCACTTCCATCATATTGTTTCCAACCTTTCTCACCTTCAAAGTCACTGCCTGATTGCTGATCATAGACATACAACATTAGGCACTTCTTGCCTGTTGCTTATTCTCATGACAGGAATGTAATTAAATGCATGGTGCCCAAACTTTCCCAAGAACAGCGGTTCTCAACCTCTGGGTAGCAACCCTGGGGACAAACAACCTTTTCACAGGGGTCACATATCAGATATCCTGTATATTGGATATTACATTAAGATTCATAACAGTAGCAAAATTATGGTTATGAAATAGCAGCAAAAGTAACTTTATGGTTGGGGGTCACCACGATATGAGGAACTGTATTAAAGGACCACAACATTAGGAAGGTTGAGAAAACACTGCCCTGTAAGAAGCATCAGATTCTTCTATTTTTTTTTTTTTTTTTTTTTTTTTTGGCCTTTTCTTCCAAGCTACACAAGGACATATGATAGCCAGTGCTTTTAATTCTGAGTTTTAGAATGCATTGTTTTCCTCTTCACTTGAAACATAAACTTGGGTTTACACACTGACTTTTACCAGTTTCAGATCAACCTACCAATGAAAAAGGACAAGTCTCTTTTCCTGGCAATCTTAAGAATTCCTTTAAGGAATTCAATAAACACAATTTCAAGTACTGATTATCAATAGAATGAGCACTAGCCTATTTCACCTTAAAATTTGTTTTTGCAAAGTTCCAAGTTTATAAATTTTCCAGTTAAATAAAAAATGAAGTCAGCTCTCAGATCTGCTGGATCATTTGCCAGAGAGCATGCAATTCGAAAGCCTCACTGATAGTCACAAAGGTCTGAAGGCCAGCCACTACAGGTTTCCTGGGCCTCTGCCCATATACCTCCACCACTTCAGGATACAACCTATTCTGCTACAGGCCAATCTCAGGTTCAGGAAGCTTTTCTACCAATCAAGACAAGACCTGACTCCTTGAGCACCAGGTACCAGTCTGAAGAATGCTGTTGCAAAAAAAAAAAAAAAAAAAAAAAAAAAGAGTGAGCTTACAGCCTCCTTTGTACACCTTTCCTTTTGGACTAAACATAGCAGGTAGTACACAGATTTTAGACACCACAGCATCCTACTCACCCTTTACAGATATGTCAAGGTCTCTCTAAAAGCAAGCACCCAGAAGCTAGCATGGTAGCATGACAAGTCCAGCAGTCATGACTTAGGCAGGAGGACTGCTGGTTTTAGACCAGCCTGGGCTACAAAGTGAGTTCCAGGCCACCAGGCTACAGAGTAAGAGCCTGTCACAAACAAACAAAACAAGTGCTTGGAGTGGATTGAAGCAGGTTCTCCAGTGCTGTTAGGCTAACCCTGAAATATCTGCAACGAGATCTAGGAAGCTTCAGAATACAACCTCTACCCATATCCTCAGCTTCACCAATCTTTCTTAAATTTCCAGAATATACCATGTTCTTCCTTGAAGATAATGCTGAGATGCCTGATTAACTATATCCTATTTGATTAGAAAATATCATAGTTATGGTTTTTTGAAGGCTATACATTAAAATATTAAAAATTATTTCTGGGTATGACAACTATAGGTGGGTTTGCATTATGTATTATTTTAATAATCAGAAAACATCCTTAAGAAAAAAATAAAGTATTTTGCATAGTATGAAGACAGAGCAGCCCAATTTAAGCTGTGTAGGTCCTTCCAAACTCCATGTATTAGCTACCCACCCTGAACTTCCACTATGAGCAAATCTACACATCTTCCACTCCCATTTGGATACATAAACCAAATCAGAGATGTAGTTAGCCCTCCATGGATACCTGCAGCATCTTTTTTCTTGGTTTTGTGTGTATAAACATAAGTCATGAGCAGCATGTAGAAGTCACAGGACAACTATGAAGAGTTCTTTCTCTCCTCCCATCTTTACCAGAGTCCTGGAGATTAAACTCGGGTGATCAGGCTTGGCAGCAAGCACCTTTACCTACCAAGACATCTCACTAGCCTGTATTACCTTTCCTTTTCTGGGGGGGGAGGTCTCTCACTATGTAGCCCTAGCTGTCCTGAAACTCATTATGTTGACCAGAATGGTTTCAAACTCTGAGATCCAATGGCCTCGGCCTCCCTGAGTGCTGGGATCAAAGGTGTGTGCACCACACCCAGCCCGAGTTACCTCTTGATCAACCACTTTAGAAACACCAGTTGAAGTAATCAAAAACTAGATAATCTGCTTATTTACTCTGTTCACTCAATAAAATTTTGGAATTTTCTTTCTTTTTGTATAGTTGAGGATGGAATTCAAAAGCCTCCATATACTAGGTGAGCAAGGCACATCCTTCTCCTGGGCTCTTCACATGACACAAGCACCACTCTGATCCAATGCTGATGACCTAATGCAGCCATCTACTACCCCAAATGCAAACATTGTTTTTGTTTTTTTATTATTGGCACTCAGCAACTGCCTCTAAGGGCCAGACAATACAAAGTCATCCCAAGGATTATCCCATTGGAACCTCACAACAATCCAAGACACAAATAAATGTTCCTATTTATGGATAGGAGAAACTATCATAGGCTAGTGTGTTACAAAGCTGGCATCTAAGAGCCCAGGTCTATATCGTACTGTAAATCCTATGCCCCCTCTTCCACTACCCTCAAGGCTTATCTGTGTATTTCTCCTCAAACATAGTTTCAGCTATACCAATGGCTTGCTATAGACTCCTTACTCCTAAGCACCTAAGATTAAGGTCCCTCCTTCCTTCTACCAAAGTGAAACTAGGCAGTGAGAGTTAGATAATCAAAGTTTATCTTCAAAACATTGGTTGTTCTGAACTCACTCGAAAATTGTTTTTCAATTTCCATGGAATTATGCATTATCTTTTGGGTGTGTATGTGTGTATGTGTGTGTGGGGGTGAAACCTTCAATCACATTTGATTTTCCAACAGACTACTAGACAGGAGACTTTCTAGAAGATAAACCAACAGCCCTAAAATGATCTATTTGCTCCTGTATGGTTCGTTTTAAGCCATCTTTTTCCACTCTAGGCAACAGATAATAATGACTGTATATTCTTTCCCGGCTACTTGGATGAAAACCTCCGCTTTAAAAGCTCTTCAAAGAAATTAGTCCAATCCCCATTCCTAACAGAACTTAACCTTCCTTACAGGAGAAGGACCAGCTCAGGAATCAAGATCTGCACGGCGGTCATGTCTTGGGGGCTGTTTTCCAGCTTGGATACATTCCAGCCTCCAATCCTGACCCTATGAGACTAGTCTCAGGAACTTGACCGGTTCCTACAGCCTTCAATCCTAACCCTATCTAACTAGTTCTTCTACTACTTTTAGGAGCCCGTCCAGCTCTCGTCCCCAAGGCGAGGTTCCCGGCTGACGCGTGTTTTTGAGCGCCTCCCGCCGGTTCCTCTAGTCAGCCTGAAGAACTCAACCCGATCTGATGAGCGCCGCCGCTCCCGGACCGGGGTTGAAACTCACCCGCCTCGTCTGGGCCTGGGGGAGTCCGAAGTATGTCCTGGAAGGTCGGCCCGGGAGCGAGCTGCAGGCGGTAGCCATGGCCCGGACGCGTGGCTGCGGAGCTAGCCAGAAGTCCGAGCGGCACGTGGATGAAGAACTTGGCAGCTATTGCCGGGGCGCCGCCGCCCCTTCCGGGTCCGGGAGTCGCGGTAGGGCGCGCACCGGCCGAAGCCAAGAGGACCCGAATGCCTCAGAAACCGGAAGAGGCCGCGCGCCGCCCACCTGGCGGGGTCTCCGTCAGCCGCCACGCTGGTCTTCTTAGCATCTCTAACACCCACACGAGACTCACTCTTCCGTGGGTTCTTCGTCAGTTCTAGCACCCAGTATCTAGCAAAGCGACTTCCCACCTTCTACTCTCAGTCACAGGCGCGCCACGGGTCAGCCCGCCTGGAGCGCACTTTCCAGACAGGCAGCTCCGCGGCCACCTAGCAGGGTGGTGTTGCCTAGCAACGGCGGGGTCCTTTCTGGCTCGGTGGCGCTCCGGGCCTGAGGGGAGCAAACGGCCGCGAAGGGTGCTGGGGGCGGCGCCGAGGTGCAGGGGGCTGCCGGGGAACAGTGGCAAGGGCTCTGTGTGCCCTGGAACCCGACCTCTGCACCCCAAGAAAGATGAGCGAGGCGGACCAGGCTCGGGTGGGGCCCACGGCTGAAGAGCCCTCCCCCTCCCCAGAGGAGGAGGGCGAAGGGGGCGGGAAGGAGCCCGCGACCGAAGCGGCCCCCGGGCCCAGCGCCGCGTTCCGCCTCATGGTTACTCGGCGGGAGCCGGCCGTGAAGCTGCAGTACGCGGTGAGCGGCTTGGAGCCACTGGCCTGGTCTGAGGACCACCGCGTGTCAGTGTCCACGGCCCGCAGCATCGCCGTCCTGGAGCTTATCTGCGATGTGCACAACCCAGGCCAGGACCTGGTGATCCACCGCACCTCGGTGCCCGCACCTCTCAACAGCTGCCTCCTCAAAGTAAGTCACCTCCGTGGCTCAACCTCGGGTTCACCGCCTGTGGTTCTCCCACGGACGCGTCACCGAACCCAAGGGAAGTCAGGCATGCACCTGGATCTAGGGTTCTGTGTTGTGAGCGCCTGTAGTAGCTCCACGTTGCGACAGTAACTCGTCTTTGTGGGGCTTCAGTCGGATCCAGCCGCCTCGCCCGGTTTGTACCTGACAGGGGGAGTGTGGATAGAGAAACGGCCGGTAAAGACGCTAAGAAAGAGACACAGGATGGAGTCAGAAGGGCAACCCAGTGAATACTGAACACCCCAAGTTTAATCTTCAACGTTCTTAAGTACCCCAACCAAAAGGGGGACATAGCAGAAGACTTTTTTTTTTTTTTTTTTTTTTTTTTTTATCATGTATAAGGAACAGTCTTCCCTTAATCCTCCAGTGTTTGGTAACCACACCTGTTATCCTACCTTGAGGGTCACAGCTCAGCCCAAGTGTTGTTATTTAGATAAGACATCCGCCACCAAGACCAAAACATCCTGCAGTAGCCAAGCCTTAGACCTTTAGGTCTCTTGACTTATTAAGGACAGTTTTGAACTCTCTGACCTTGAGGCAAGATGAATCAGAGCCATCTTTATAGGCCCCCAACATCCCTGCTCATCCAACTCTTAAGAATCTCAAGGGGCAAATATCGCCACAGCTTCTAAAAAGCCTTGAAAGCTGTTATGCTGTTACCAGACACCCCTCTACCAATACACGGTGGTCCCCCCCAACCCCTGTCCCCCTTCCAGGTTCCAATATCCGTTTCTCTTTTTGTGATGGGCATTGAGCACTGATTACCATTGCTCAGGTGCTTTCTGAGACTCCACTCCCCCACCGCCCCCACCAGTGCTTGACCCAGCCCCAGACCTGCCTTTATTGTCTAGGTCAACTCCAAGAGGCCCTAGGCTGGCATTGTTTTGTTTTTTTTTTTTTTTTTATACTGTATTGCACCCTCTGCACCACTTTTGCTTTGAGAAGAGAAACTGGTCTATTTCGTTGTGGTTTATACTCTTAAAATCTTTTCAAGTGGAACAAAAAAAATAAAACCTCGGGGAGCATCCAGTGCTTAGACTTCCAAGTCCAAAGTCTCTGTAAATTCAGTGCCTTCAACAACTCCACATAACCCAAGTTTGCCCCTAAACTTTAGAGTTCTAAAGTTTTATTGTGTTAATGTCACCATTTTCAAACACGGTGTATTTTAAATAGTGAGCAATGATGTTTGTTCCTTTTTTGTAGCCTAGAAATATAAAAGCTTACTTATTTCCCGTATAGCTCTGTATGTAGTTACAGTATGTAGTCTGTCAAAGTGAATGAGTGCGTGCCTACCGAGGTTCTGGGATAAATCAGGGTAGAGAACAATCCTCAAAGGAACTTACATTCTTTGACAGATCATGAACACACAATGTAGTCTAAAAAGCAAAGAGTGCTTGCTATAAAGCTACATACCCATATAGCAGTATGTTTATTTGAAAGCAAAGTTTTTCCACATTCTTCTAGACAGCCATTCCAAATCTGGGCCATTAGTCACGGATACAGTTTGAGTAGCCCTCATGAGCTCTTTTTAGCACACTTAATTCAAATTTCAAACACAATGTTGAATTGGATAATACATCTTGTTTTCTTCTTAAATAGTATTGTGAGTTTGATAATCCTGCCTGGGATTACAGGTTTACAGATTGAATTAGGGGTCAACTTGACTGTCTGAGCCATGTAAGATCTTAAAGAAGCTCAGAAAGTCCATCCACTTGACATCTAGCTCATGCACATAGATCTTTAAGTCATGAGTATAACTGTTGTTTGAGTATTGATGGATCACCTGGAGCTGAAGTATTTCTTCTAGAGTCAGAGAAAATGACAGTTTAGGAAACAGGAAGTTTCTTGAGTGCTGTTTCAATTTTATGAGGATATAGTTTAGGAGTATAGTTTAGGTATACTTTAGGAGTGTGAGACTGCCTGAGCTAGAAGTAAGCAAGTGATTGCTAGGCTGATTAAAAGAAGAGGGTAAGAGACTGGGCTTTATCCTGGCAGTAGTGGCACACACCTTTAATCCCAGCACTCAGAAGGCAAAGACAGGCTGATCTCTGTGAGTTCAAGGCCAGCCTGATCTACAAAGTGAGATCCAAGCCTACACAGAAGAGAGAGAGAGGCGCTGATTGGGCTTTGGCATAAGATAGACCTATCTATAAGACAGAAATAGTACAATTTACCTTGTCTAGGCTTTATGGTGAATTAAATTTAACAGCATTGTCACGTAATATCTGGCACTGAGTACATGTTAGTGCCCAAAACAAAAATGAAGGAAAAAGCTGTGTTAATGTAGTGTGGGTTGAAGCTAATACTAACATTCTGATAAATTGACCAACTTATTGCTACTTTTGTCACACTGTTTAAATAGTAGCAGAAAATCTTTATATAGCCCTCTAAATGATAGAGTGTACATGAAGAGGCCTTTGTTGTTACAATATGAATATAAAGAAATCTGTCGGTTCTTCTCTGCCCTACATAGATATGGTCTCTAGTCAGTGTTTAAATCTATTCAATGTTGTCCAGCTAGCTTCTGTTTCAACTCAAATAACAGGTAATTTTTAACCTAGGGGGTGATTTTAGAATGCAGCACAGCTAAAGCACTACTAACCCTTTTTTGAAGCTATTGCTCTATGATTCTGTTAGATCACAGCTCAGACATTTCAGTTATTTGTAAGTTTCTGTCTTGGTACTGAAATTATATGATAGGAAGTTGAATGATAAAAGTAATTAAAAACAAGAAAATAGTGACTTAAGATGGCTCAGCAGTTAAAAGCATTTTGCTGCTTTTGCTAAGGACCTGGGCTCAGTTCCCAGTCCACATTGGACAGCTTACAACTGTAATTCCAGTTCTAGAGTATTTTACACCATCTTCTGGCCTGTGAGCACCAGGCATGCACATATAGGACAAATACATACATGTAGGCAAACACTCGTGCACATTAAAAAAAAAAGAATAAGTCTGTTTTCTCCCATTAGACTACTGGTACATTTCCAAATCCTAATGTTATTTATGACCTAGTTTTATTGTGTATCAGTTGCTTATAGAAAAAATATCCATGCCTACTACGTGAAACGAACTATTGTCTGTGTTTGGGAATCACACATCCTTTGTCTTCAAGTAGCTCCTTGCTACTTGACGTTTCAGATGGGGCTTCCTTTTATATTAGTAGTGGTTAGCTTGAAACTGACCACTGACCAGTAAATGATTGAGTCATGGGCTCTGGCAGGTTCTGGAAACTCAACTTTCAAGTGGTTAGGTCCTTGGACATCTGAGTGCTTGTTTACATTTGCTAACTGGTTTTGTGATGGAAAAAGTTGGGAAGGGAAATGTAATCAACTAAAGAAATTCAAATTTAATTATGTGTTAGAAATTATCTTGCTGGTCAAGATCAGTGCTGTCCCTCATCTCTAGATGCTGTAAAATTGAGATATTTTGGCTACAGTTCTGTTTCAAAACCTGGAAGGATCTACTTTTAAATTAAAAGTTTGCCCAGTTCTGATTAAATGTGTTTCTACAGTGGTTCCCTGGCCAATGCATTTTATATGCTCCCCATTACTTCTAGGAGGGATGGAGGGTAATATTGAGCATTTCCTTATCTGTCCATAGACATCTTTTCTAGGAGCATTTTAGGAAAAGTTGGCTAAGTGAGATCTAGGAATCTGCTATCTCTGCCTCACCAAGTTTACAGGCTTGTACTGTACCTAGATTTTTACACGAGTTCTGGGTTTAAATTCCGTTACTTCGCTTGCAGGGCAAGTGAGCTGACTGAGCGATGACCACAGCTCTGTTGTTATTGCACACTGTAGTGTTCACTGCTGTTATGTTGAAGAATTTTGTTATTAATTAGGCTTAACAGCTTATGTATGCTTAACATTTGAAAGAGCTTTTTAAGACAGTACTTAAACTGGTCCTTAGTGAATATTTTCCAAGGTTTGTGTTCTAGAGTTTAACTTCAGTGCTTGGGAACTTATATCAAATCGCTTAGTAAATTCATATATTAAAAGGACTTGAACTCCCTTCTAATCATGTCCTATCTTTTCCATTTCCAGATTAAATTTCTTAAAAAGATTGGCACTAAAATCAAAATGGAAAGTTTTTTTGTTTTGCTTTTTTTTTTTTTTTTTTCTCCTTTGTTTCTTTGGCTTTTTTGTTTGTTTGGTTTTGCTTTTGTTTTTAAATCTGTGAAGAAAGATTGAGGATAGAAGATTCTGGTTTGTTTAGTTTTGTTTGTTTGCTTGAGTCAGGGTTTCTTTAACACCTGGAACTTGCTTTGTAGAACAGGCTGGCTTCGAACTCACAAAGATGGGCCTGCCTCTACCTCCAGAGAGATAGAGCTAAAGGCGTGCGCCACCACTGCCCAGCCCTTTGGCTTTTTAAAATAAGTCTGGCTACATAATCCCTGACTGGCCTGGAACTTGCTAGGGTGATATTCCTGGCTCTGTGTCCCAACTGCTGTGATTACAGATGTGTACTACCATGCCTTTTATCCATTTTTTCTGAAAACAATAGATGGAGTTCTTCCACCTTTGAGTATATTGAGGATATCTTTAAGATCAACCTTTGTTGTTTTGTTTTGGCTTTAGCCTTCTTGGCTATAATTTTAGTCATTTTTAACTTCCTCTATCTTTACTGTCCCTTTAAAATCTTACAGAATTTTCATCATTTGGTTGAGCACTTGATACATCTTACAGACCTAGACAAGGGAGTGATGAAGCAAAGCTAGAATGATCTGAGGCCGCATAGGACTAGCCCTGGTAGGATAGATGGGAAGGAGCAAGTTAGGCACGGAAGCCAGGAAAAGGAGTAGGTGGAATAAAGAAGTCTTATAGGAGCCAGCTTGTAGCAAGAGTAAACAGGGCAATTGGTGTTAAATGTGTGTGATTTGCTAAAGAAACTGCAGATTAAAGGGCCTGGAGTTGGTTAATGAAGAAGTTTAGTGGGCAGAAGGCACAAACCTGTTGACTTTAGTTCAATCCCTGGAAAAAGTCCAATGTGCTTACATGATGGCTTGCCTCTGTAAATCCCAACATTCCTATAGTGAGATGGAAGGCAGAGATGGAAGCATCATGGGGAAGCTGACCAGCTAGCTAACCTAGAGAACACAAGCACAGCAGAAACAAGAGACCTTGCCTCTAGAAGGTGGAGTGAGAAAAAGGAGAATAAAAATAAAAAGGTTGAGGTTGGGCTGGAAATGTAACTCAGTGGTAGATCATTTATTTAGCATGCATGAGGCCTTTGGTTTGATCTTTAGCCTGTGTCACAAAGCTATTATGAAAATCTAGCTATGTAATATAGCAAAAACGAATATATGTACATACTTCCTTAACTTTTAAAACTGCTGTTGTTTTGTGACTGGCTCAGAGCTAAGTGTTCCCTTTGCTCTTGTGGCTCAACACTATTCCATAGGCCAATTCTAAGAAGAATCTGAAAACCCAGCAATGAAGTCAGTCACATTTATTGAGTCTTTAAAAAAACAAAAAAGGACATTTCCTTGAATAAATTATGTAAAAACCTTTACATAATCCATTTTTTTGTTGTTATTTTTGTTTGTTTTGTTTTGAGATAGAATTGTTCTACCTCAACTTTGGCTGGCTGAACATGCGATGATCTTCCTGCCTCAGCTTCCAGTGTGCTTGTATTAACAAGTGTGCATAACCACACCTGGCTGTTTGATCTTTTAAATGCATATAATGTCAAAATTAGCAGAATTAATACAAAATTGTTCTGTATCTTAATGGAAATGAGTTACATGGGTAAATATCTGACAGCTTCTGTATTTCTTATTTTCAGGTTGGCTCAAAAACAGAAGTTGCTGAGTGCAAGGAGAAGTTTGCTTCCTCTAAAGACCCCACCATCAGCCAGACTTTCATGTTGGACAGGATGTTCAACCCTGAGGGGAAGGCATTGCCCCCAATGCGGGGCTTCAAATATACTAGCTGGTCTCCCATGGGTTGTGATGCAAATGGCAGGTGCCTTTTGGCAGCACTGACCATGGACAATCGCTTGACTGTGCAAGTGAACCTCAACAGACTCCAGTGGGTTCAGCTGGTTGATCTGACTGAGATTTATGGAGAACGTCTTTATGAGACCAGTTATAGGCTCTCAAAAAATGAGGGTCCTGGGGGAAACCTGGGGGATTTTGCCGAGTTTCAGAGGAGACACAGCATGCAGACCCCAGTCAGAATGGAATGGTCAGGCATCTGTACTACTCAGCAAGTTAAGCACAACAATGAGTGCCGAGATGTGGGCAGTGTGCTCCTGGCTGTCCTCTTTGAGAATGGGAATATAGCTGTGTGGCAATTTCAGCTGCCATTTGTGGGGAAGGAGTCCATCTCTTCATGCAACACCATTGAGTCAGGAATCAGCTCCCCCAGTGTTTTGTTTTGGTGGGAATATGAGCACAATAATCGGAAAATGAGTGGCCTCATTGTGGGCAGTGCTTTTGGACCTGTAAAAATTCTCCCTGTCAATCTCAAAGCAGTCAAAGGCTACTTCACTTTAAGACAGCCTGTTGTCTTGTGGAAGGAAATGGACCAATTGCCTGTACATAGCATCAAATGTGTACCACTTTATCATCCTTACCAGAAGTGTAGCTGTAGTTTAGTGGTAGCTGCAAGAGGCTCCTATGTGTTCTGGTGTCTTCTTCTAATCTCAAAGGCAGGTCTGAATGTTCACAATTCCCATGTCACAGGCCTTCACTCACTGCCCATCGTCTCTATGACTGCAGACAAGCAGAATGGAACAGTGTATACCTGTTCTAGTGATGGGAAGGTGAGGCAGTTGATTCCCATTTTCACAGATGTTGCATTGAAGTTCGAACACCAGCTGATTAAACTCTCAGATGTATTTGGCTCAGTGAGGACTCATGGCATTGCAGTGAGCCCCTGTGGTGCTTATCTGGCCATCATCACCACTGAGGGCATGATCAATGGCCTCCATCCTGTGAACAAGAACTACCAGGTCCAGTTTGTTACTCTCAAGACTTTTGAAGAGGCAGCTGCTCAGCTCTTGGAGTCCTCAGTTCAAAATCTCTTTAAGCAGGTGGACTTGATTGACCTAGTCCGCTGGAAAATTTTAAAAGATAAACATATCCCTCAGTTTTTACATGAAGCTTTGGAAAAAAAGATTGAAAGCAGTGGGGTCACCTATTTTTGGCGTTTTAAGCTTTTTCTCCTAAGGATTTTGTACCAGTCAATGCAAAAATCTCCTTCAGAGGCCTTATGGAAACCTACCCACGAGGACTCAAAGATCTTACTAGTTGACTCACCTGGAATGGGTGATGGTGAGGATGAACAGCAAGAAGAAGGCACTTCCAAGCAGGGGACTAAGGCTGGCCTGCAGGAGAAGAGCAAAGAGGGTGACACAGAGGAGCCCCCCGAAGACTCACTCACTGCCATGGGAGACACCGGAGGCCGTGAACCCATAGAGGAGAAGCTCCTTGAGATCCAAGGGAAGATTGAGGCTGTGGAGATGCACCTGACCAGGGAGCACATGAAGCGGGTCCTAGGAGAAGTGTACCTGCACACCTGGATCACAGAGAACACCAGCATACCTACCAGGGGACTCTGTAACTTTTTGATGTCTGATGAGGAGTATGATGACAGAACAGCTCGGGTAGGTGTCTATCGAAACTACTAGCCCTGTGAACCATCTGCTCTTCTCACTAGGTAAAAGGGTCATGGGTTGGCTTTTGCATTGACATTATTGAGGTAACTGATTGCCATGAGGTACAGAGAAATAGATGAAATGGGAAATATGGATTGAAGCTAAGGATACACTTTCTTCCTTTTATGTGCCTTTGACTGATGTGCAGGGTTTTCCAGATGACATTTCCAGGCTGTGGATGAGACAAGGAGGCTGCGGTGGCAAGTGGTATATGACAGATAGTCAGTCACAGCAGTGGAGATGCCCACCTGTTCTCTCTTCCATCGTGTTTTAAAAAGGTTCATTGTGGGTGTATGTTTTCTATTTGAAAGGCTTGAGGTTGGGTATTGTAAAGAAAACAATTGTTAACTCCAATTTATTTTTTTTTTAAAACTGGGCTGTTTTGTTTATTTGGGTATTGGAACAATGTAGTAGTCTTGTCTACAGTGTATTCCACAGACTTCAAGTTTCCCCCAGGAATGGGATGGCTTCGAGCTTATGGAATATGGTAGGATGTGCTTCTCAAGTAAGGTTCCTGGTGCAGGTTATCATCCTGTGGATTCTGAAGGTTCTTGCAGAAAAAAAACTATTACCCAGCTTCCCAGGCTTAGTTGGGGATGGGGGCGGGGGACACCATTAGAGTTGTGGAATCCTAAAGAGTACACCACTAAGGAACAGGCTGTACACTCTGGATATGGACACTACCTTAAGTCTCAATGAGATTGAGAGGTCCAGATAGCTGTCCTTCCCAACTCAATTCACAGTGCATTTGTCTGCCCCTGAAACTGCTACCCACAGGACAATTGCAGTGGTTTTAAAACACAGTAAAAGGTACTGGTCATGTTCGTGACTTTTCTTTAAAACGTCAACATTTAAACCCTGTTTTCTGTCGTTTAAACTGTCTGGAAGAATATTCTGTTTTTCACTATCATGGGACTGGTTAGAATTTTTATAAATCTGTGAATGCTAGCAAAAGCATTTGTGGAAAGTAATAGGTTTCATTCTTTCCTTTAGGATTGTTGATTAGATGCTGTGCTTGCAGACCCATGTCTAACATGGTTATGTGGTTCTGGCTAAGCCGTTGGGAAGACTGTACCCTGCTTTGCTGTAGCATCTGAGTTCTGATTAAAGAATGACTTCTGTGTTCTAAGAATCTAGACCTGCTTCATACAAAGACCTTTCAGCCTATAGTGTTGATTTTACTGTAGTTTTAAATGTTCTGTGACTATTGGACATACATTTCTCAACCTGCTTTTCATTCCCAAGTGCCCCACTTTCACCTCTTCTAGCTCCTGCTCGGGATTTCTTAATAGTTAATACCACAGACTTATTGTGTATTTGTTTTTGACTCAAAAAGTCTACCTGTGCTACATTAAAAGGATTAGGATTTTTTTTTTTTTTCTCCAGGAACCAGAATTTCTTGAGAAGGATTTTTATAGAGAATGCACAGTTGGCCTCTGTGATTGAGGCCACAAAGAGTAAATAGAAGCAGAGCTTAGGCCTAGCTCTGCAGTAGAACACTGGGCCATCTTTACAACTACACCACTGCTGGGATGTTAAGCTTACCTGGAAGGAGTGAGGGTGTCTGTCCTAATGTGAAGGACTGTAAATTAGGATTTTGAAGACCAAAAAACAAGACCAAAATAACTTAAATTTGTAAATTAAGCCTGGTGTACGTGCATCTATCCCAGTACAAGGGGGGCAGAGGTTCTCTGTGAGTTGGAGGCTAACTTGGTCTACATAGTGAGTTCAAGGACAGCCAGAACTACATAGGGAGATCCTGTCTCAAAAAAAAAAAAATCAACCAAACAAATTTTAAAAAAGCAAAAAAAAAAAAACCCACAAAAATTTGTAAAATTTCAAGAGTTGAAATGGCTAGCTCAAATCAGTAATTAAGATACCCTTTGAAATCTGGTTGACCTAATTAACCCAGAGTACAAAATCTTGTAGACTACCAGAAGAGATAAAGCATAAATACATTCAGATCTGGGGAGGGTAGGAGTTATTAGTAAGAGGCTTAAGTTTGGTATATCCCATGCCTCTGAGGCCGTGAAGGGTGTGGGTGTGTGGGTGTTTTCCAACAAAATAATAAAATAGATGTATGTTTTTCAGTAAAAAATTTAAACCAGGTATAGAAGCACAGGTCTGTAATATAATGCAGCTACTCCAGAGGCTGAGGCAGGAGTATATATAGCAAGTTCAAGACTGTCTGGACAGCTTACTGAGACCCTGTCAAAGAATGAAAAATTGAAAGAGACAGGTTTGGAACTTGGTGGTAGTGTCTATCTAGAATGTGCAAGGCCCCACATTCAATCCCAAGACCACCAACACCACCAAAACAAAGCTACTCTCAGTAGGGCCAAGGAAAATACCTTCTCCCATGCTGGGTCCCTCAGGTTATCTCAGATGCAGGAGCTACTAGATCAGTCCCCTTTGGGCCATCAGAAGGGGAAGTTATTTTTTTTTTAAACCCTGATTATCTTTTTATTTTATAAATCTGTGTTAAAAGACTAAACATTTGTGGCCTGGGAAAACCCCTACTGCTCTTCTAGAGGACCCAGGTTGTTTCCAGCACCCACATGGCAATTCACAGCCACTGTAGCTCCAGCTTCAAGGAATCCTTTTTTTTTAAGACAGTGTAGTTATTTATTTCTACAACGGTCACAATAGTCCACATTTTTTCACAGGGAAATTAATGACTTTCCTTCTTAAAGCACTTTAAGTAAAAACTATAACTACTTGTAAAGCGACTGAAACAAAACAGAGCTTGGATTTCAGAGATTTCTCCCTTAAGGTTAGAGTTCACCCTACAGGTCAGGGTCACTGTATCTATTTATTTTACTTTGCTGTTGACACTGGTTGAAGGTACAGGTTTTGAGCTCTTTGGATAGCAGTTTAGCCTGTAGATATACACCTCTCCTGTCCCTGACACAATCCTGTATTGGCTGTGAGTACCCTTTGCTCCCAGAAACCCATCCACCCCTCATTCTGCCACCCATGGTGTCTCACCAGGTCCTGATTGGACATATTTCCAAGAAGATGAATAAGCAGACCTTCCCTGAGCACTGCAGTCTGTGTAAGGAGATCTTGCCATTCACGGATCGCAAGCAGGCAGTTTGTTCCAATGGGCACATTTGGCTCCGGTAAGCCCCCAAAGCTGTTCCTGTCTTAGTTTTGTGTAGCACAGAGCTCATCTGCTTGACGAATAGAACTGTCTGTTTACTTGGGTTGCTGTTTGCCTAGAAGTCATGGTTTTTGTGTACTCTTTTGGTTAAGTTTCATAATGGGGAGAGGGGTGTGTAACAGACATGGGAAAGGAGATAAGAGGGCATTGGAGAGGATAATCAGAATATATTATATACATGTATGAAGTTGTCAGACAGCAGAAGCAATAAACAGCTTTTGTAATGAAAAAAAAATCCTTCCTCTTCCTGTCCCCTTAGCCTAGCCAACGCCAAAGAAGTGACTTTGGTGGGTTCTCATTTCCAGTCACCCCTCCTCCACGAGATACTTTATTACCTTCTCCCAAGACACTATACTTTCTAGTTTTCCTCCAACCTCTGACTTCCTCATCTCCTCAGTGCCCATCCTTAGGCCTGTCATTTTGGTCATCCACCATTCCTAAAGCATTCTCTTATTGGTCTGTGTCTGCTTCAGTTCAGACTTGTAAATTAACTTCCTGCCTGCCTGGTGTCCTTACTTAGGTGTTACCTCAGCACTTCTCAAAGAATCCAGCCCCCTCATCATTTCTGCTGCTATAGCCCTGGCCCAGACACTGCCATTGTTCATGCACATGATGGTAGGCTATCTTCCATCTGGGCCTGCTGCTCCCATACTTTAACCTTCCGTCTGTTCTCTGCAGTTGTGCTCATGATATTCAGTCTTTGTCAGCTCTTGTCACGTCAGTACTCTCCGCTAGGGCTGAGGATATGGGTCCCTGGTAGAGCTACCTCTAGCATTTGTAAAGCACAATCCTGCAAAAACTAACAAAAGCTCTCTAGGAGCTGACCATTTCTGAATTGAAAAGCTAAAACTCTCTAGTTACTTGCAGCCTTTCACAATCTGTTCTTGCCTCTTCAAGCCCTCATTCATCCTTTCTCTGAACTCAGCTCCCAGATTTCTCCATCCAGGAGAACTGGCTACCTTGCTCAGGTCTATATGGTACCCCTCCCACTTGAGGACTTCTGCAGGGATACAGTAGATATTTAATGCTCTCTCTCTCACATACACACTTAGTGCTGTGTATTCTTCTGCTTTTCTGTTTTTCTCCTCATAACCATATTCACTCATTTTTTGTTTTTGTTTTTGATTTGTTTTGTTTTGTTTCTCTGTATTGCTTTGGAGCCTGTCCTGGAACTAGCTCTGTAGACCTGCCTCTGCCTCCCAAGTGCTGGGATTAAAGGTGTGAGCCACCAATGCCCGGCAGACCTAAGGACTCTTACAGATAGTCCATATGTTTTTGTTGTTGTTAATTTATTTTTACATTCCAATCCAAGTTCCCACTCCCCCCTTCTTCCCATCTGCTCCTCGGAGAAGGTAAGGCTTCCCCTAGGAAGTCTACTAAACCTGTCCCCTCATCTTGTTGAGGCAGTTCATATATCTTAAAAACTAATGAGTGGTTTTGCACATGACATGTGAGTGTTTACATACTAAGAATTAAGAATGCATTGCCCTGATAACTATGGGAGTTTCCCTCAGCACCAACTGCTTTCCAGTGCTGGTGGGCCCAAGGAGCCTCCTCTGATTGAACTCTGTTTTCTTTCAGGTGCTTTCTAACCTACCAGTCCTGCCAGAGCTTGATATACCGACGGTGTTTGCTCCACGACAGCATTGCTCGGCACCCTGCTCCAGAAGGTGGTTCAGGCTTAGCCTTGGGGTGGGATGGGGTCAGGTTCCATACCATATAAATGTCTTGTTCTTGGTTTAGAGCAGAGTCATTTCTGCTCTCTGCAGTAACTGTGAAGCTGGAACCAGTTAACAAATGGTCCCAGGACCAGTGTAAGGGCCTAACTCAAGGGAGTATGTAGGGGCTATATTTGGGTGACAGTTCTGCAGAGTATGCTATATATAGAAACATTGTTGTTGCTGAACCTGGTATGGGTATTGCTCTTCTAGAAGCCATTGAGGGCTACTTCCTGATTGGTGTGTGTGTTTTTTCAAACATTTCTGTTTCTGATAGTGCTAGCTAGAAAATGCTTTGGTGGCATGTACCTTTAATCTCAGCACTTGGGAGGCAGAGGCAAGCAGATCTCTTAAGAGTTCCAGGCCAGCCTGGCCTACAGAGTGAGTTCCAGTGTAGCCAGGCTACTCAAAGAAACCAGTCTCAAAAATCCAAAAGCAAAAGATCAGGTGTCCAGTAGTTACAGAATGTCAGTTGTTGATGTTAGCTTCACTAACCCTACACTCCAGCTGAACAGGCCAGCAAGACAGGCTTGTAAAGACATGCTTTGGTAAATAAAAAACAAGAGTACCTAAAACTCAGTCCATACTGATTTTTGTTCATTAATTCTTTCAAGGTTGCATATTGGCAGCTTGGGTTCTATATCTGCTTTTAGTTGACCTCAATTCTCCATCTGAGGCTGTACCTCCATCCTACTTTAAAACATTTGGAGAGAATTTAAGCAGATACTACAGTTGAGACTTGATGTTTAGGCATGGTAGGAGTTTAAAAACAAGACCCCCTACACTTGCTCTGAGAATGGATCTGAACAAACTGGAATAGAGCAGAGATTTCACAGGCCAGAAGCAGGAGGGAGGGTTCTCTGTTGTCACCACATGTTTACTTTTCTGCTGTGATAGCATTTCTGAAAAGTTGCTATTACTGTTACTTTATGAAAGAATACTATTCACAATATATAAATTGGACATAGTAATACTTAGCTGTAATGCCAGCACCAGGGAGACTAGGGCAGGAGGATGGAGTGGTGTTCAAGGCCAGCCTGTACTACATAGTGAGACCCTTTTCAAAAACAAAAATAACATATGAATACAGTTCTTGTTTAACTTGAACACTTGTGGCTCTTTTGTTTGTTTAAGGGTTTGATTGGTTGGTTTCTTGAGACATGGTCTCTCTGTATGTACTCCTGGCTGTCCTGGAAATTGTTGTGTAAACCGGACTGGACCTCAAACTCACAGAGATGGTCCTCTCTGCCTCCTGAGTGCACCATGCCCAGCACAGGTGGCTTTCTGAAGCACTCACTCATTGCCATGGCCTTCATCTCATCACAGGCCAAGCTTTGGGAACCACTCATTCACTTCAGCTCAGCCTCATTAGAATGTTGGAAACTGAGACCAGAAAGACTGGACTGCTTGGGCCCTTGAGCCTCATGCCCCTGCACTACAGTGCTGTGCTCATCCTGTCCTGTCACCTTTTCTGAGGCTGACCCTTGGTCCCACTGTCTTTTGCAGATCCCGACTGGATTAAGAGGTTGCTGCAGAGCCCTTGCCCTTTCTGTGATTCTCCTGTCTTCTGAGTGTCAGTGAGGAGGATGGAGGAACATGGACTCGGCTGTAGAAAGTGCCCTGGAGCCTGAAGAGCAGGTGTACTGGAGGAAGCCTGGTGTGGGACAGTGGAGAGACTCTTCTGACTGGAAGGAGGAAGGTCATCCCTGAGCTCATTTCGCCAGCACACTCGCTATCTTCAGGAATTGAAGGATATCTTTTCAATGACTAAATGCAAAGAGTTTGAGTCATTTTGAGGTGAACATTAGCCACCCCCAGCTCCTCACCCAATGAGAACCACTTACTTTTCAAGCATCTTGCCTAAAGCAGTTTGAGCGGAAGCTTCTGCCCCTTGAGACATATTGGGCTCTTCTAGAGAACCTGAGGATCTCACTGTGAGTTTGGTTTTCATCTTTGCTTTGGTCTGGAACTGCCTGTGGCTCCAGAGGACTCAAGTTGGTTGGTACATGACACCCCCTGTGCCAATACATCTTAAAGTCTCTAAAGCTGTGTGTGGCTGGTGTTTGCTCAGCAGACTCATTTGCCCATTGACTTGTTTCCATGAATATGGAAGACATTTTCCTAAAACTATATTTTTGAAGCCAAGAATAAAATCAATCTTGATGTATCAAATGATCAGGTGACTATTAGAAGTTAATAATTTTCATTTATTTTTATCTCCTGTGACTCAGCTCCTTAGTATGTCAGAAGAGAGTGAGTACCCCTTCCCTCATCACAGCCCCACTTCATATCCAACTGTGTGGCCAAGATACTGGTACATAAAGGGGAAGTATTTCTTCTTTTAGTATTAAATTGAAGCTTCAGTATTTTTAACATTGACTTATCCAGACCTTTCACTGAGTATCTGGGGGGAAAGTTGGTGTAGGGACTTTTGGAGAGAGATGGCAGCATGGAGTTGGAGGTCCTTGAGCTCTGTACTGCAAGTATGTGCAGCTCAAGTGGACAAACATGTGAATTTCTTCTCCTGCCAAAGGTCCTTAATAATTGGAATACAGGTATTTTTCTGTGGGCTTAAAGAGGAGACATACACTATTGGTTGACGGCTAGCTCTTAACCAGACCTGAAGCATTCTGGAATCACAGTCTTGTGTTTTTAAAGTAAGTTTCCTAGGATTGGTGCTAATGAACTGGACTTTGGTGCACACGTTTGGAAATTGTACGTTTTGGAAAGTGGGGTAGAAAGCACAGAACATGAAATGCTTTGCTCCTTTATCATCCTTTATACTTTTATTTTAACATTCTCTCCTGCTTTGATTTTACATCCATGGTGAAAGACATTCTGTCCTCCCTTCAGAAATATTGTCTTGGTACTTGGGTGCCACAGTGAGAGACAGACCACATGCCATCCTGCCACACTTTCTGTCTTGAAAAATAGCTCCACACTGGTGACAGACCCTAAGGAAGAAGCACTGCCAGAAGATACTCTAAAATGTTCTGTTAAGATTGTTGCCCTGTGCCGTCTGTTTAATGAATTGTTTGCTGGAGTTTTTAATGTCCTGACTTGGGGTTGTTTCAAGAACAGTATCTATGCAGACCTGAGGGGCAGCAAAGAGCCCCGTCTGAACCTAACTGATTGCTTTAAGCAGTTGCTCAGTTTTTGACAATTTTTAACAATTAGGAGTCATGGAAGAATTTCTAGGATCTGTACTTATGTACAGGAAGAAACATGGCAACTGGAACACAAGTTCTCAATAAGGGGCATTCTTAGGACTCTGAAATCCAGCCACAGCCAATTGTCTCCACAGCTAGTAGGGATGCCTCCCTCCTCTCTAACACCCACCCCCCCCACTCCCACCACACACCGATGTTAATCTTCAGAGTTGGGTGAACGAGAGAATTTAGGATTGATGGCAGCCTCCTGCATAGGGCACTTCTGAATTCTTCTCTAAGGGTTACTGTATAGAACCCTGGAGGGTTGATTGGAGGGACCTTGGAAAAATGGTAGTGACATTAGTCTTGTGCCTCTTCCAGCTTGAACATGCTTGTGCTGCTTTATGGAAGACTTGAGGCAGTTTCGATTGCAGCTGTTGTAGCTGTTTTAGCATGGGAGGAAGAGCAGCCATTGAATGGCTGCCCTGTATTTAGAATGCTGAAGCACACTACAGAGACCCCACAAGCTACAACACTGCTATGTATCTGATCTTCTCTGCCTGGGGTTATTGGTTTCTATTATTCTAGGTAGGAAATGGGTAACTTGTTCTGGTTGGTATTCATGCTGAAGTCTTGGTATATTCATCCCTGGACTTGGAGCTGTCTTTACCCACCACAAGATCTGCCAAAGCTATTGTGAGCACCAGCGTAGTCTGTGGTCAGATGTAACATTTTCCTGCTTGTCCCTTCTAGGATCTAGCGAGTTTTTAAGAACATCTATGTAGAAGTATGTAGGCTAGACCTAGCAACAAACTTAGCAAGTTAATTGGATTGGGAAAGTCTTATGTTCTGTTTGTTTTGTTCTGTTTTTTGAGACATGGTTTCACTATGCTATAGCCCTAGCTATCCTGGAATTCCCTTTGTAGATCTTGAACTCACAGATCTGCCTGCCTCTGGCTCCTATATTTGGAAAGTTTAATCATTTGCTTGGCTATTTTAGTATCAGATAAGATGCAGATGTTAGAACATGACCCTGCGCAGGGAGCCCTGCACCTCTGGCGGCAGCTAAGTGGCCTGGATTGTTGAGTGGCTGTAGTTCCTGAAATGGACCAGATTTGGGTTCTGGTCATCCCCTTCTTGCTTTACCTTCCCCAAGAGGCAGCTCTCAGCATTAGGATGCACTTCAGGCCAGAAAGATGTATAGTGATAAAGTTTCTAAAGACTAAGCCATATTGTAGGTCTTCCTAGAAGAAACAATGGGCATATGTGCTTAAAGGGCTGACTTGGGGCTCCTTTCCACCACGGTGTTCCTGTTCATGTTGAGCTGAATGAGTGCATTCCAAGTCAGCATTGACCCCCAACAGTCAGTCAGATACTCAAAGCTCTTTCACCATAGCACACCTTGGACTTCAGGAGTCACAGCCAGGTTTGGCAGCCTCTCATGGTATGTCCTGGTAGAGAGTCAAAGCAACCTTACCTTCCCCTTGAGGTATTGGGTTAGAATGTCAACCCTGCAGGGTCTCATGAAGTGAATTGTCTGGCTTTAGTTCCTGGGAAGCATCAGTGCCCCTCATACACTTTAGACTGTGCCTCAGACTCTCATGTTATGAGACCCTAAACTGCTCTTTCTTGAAGCTGAGACATTCTTGAAGTTAAATCTGCTTTGTGTCTAGCTCAGTGCACAATAGGTAAAATTGCTTCTAGCTGCCTACAGACATGGCAGCTTTGCCCGAGTAGCAGGCAGAAGGCAGTGTTCGTGGATTTTATAATTCAAGGCCATGCTTATATAGAGAAGAGAGACTGATGCAGTCAGGATTCTAGTCATGAGTTTATTTAGAGCTCGATGGTGTGGTACACCAACAGTGCCTAAGTTCTGTTTTCATAAAGAAAGATACAATAAATTGGGTAAGGGATGGTGGCACATGCTCAGGAAGCTGAGGCAGGAGGGTCAGGTTGAAGGTTAGTCTTAGCTGTATGGAGAGAACCTGCCTCAGAAAACCAAAACTGGTTAAGTTGTACAGCATAAGAAGTGGTATTGACGGTGTTGTGATGTTTTCAGCCCAGGTCTGCATTTGGCTAACGTGGTAAAGTGAGTGCTCCTGTTCTCACTGTCTCTGTATGGTACTAATATAAAATCAAACACAAGTATCCCATGAATTGTGTTTTTTCCAAAGCTTTGTTTCACATTTGTATTTGACATGACATGGATGTGAGCATCACACTTGTTTAAACAAATGTCTGTTGTGCTTAGTGGTTTTACCCTGTTTACCCGATGCTTGTGCTAAAGTTTGTGCTTGGCTTTGAATTGTATGTTTACACCTGGCTGTTTTTAAATAAAGAGAAAATTTTACAGTTATGCAAAGGGGATTTTTCTTTCTATCTAATCAATTTTAACTTTCAAGGTTCCAGCTAAAAACTAAGGATAACAACATGTTCCTTGGAATAAATGCCAACCCAGACAAGCCAGCCACTTGTTCCCTTAGCGTGTGCAGCTAGCTGTATGCTCCTCCAAGGCTGGGACTGTCTCAGTTCCTAGAGCTGCAGAGCTGGTGAGTGGGGCTCCCCTCCTTCACTGTCCCCCACAGTCAGCTCCACAGGGCCACTAAGACAGGAGAAGGCATGGCTCTGACTGAGGTTTACAAGAACATCTCACATCCTGGCCCTGTTTAGCTTTTTGTTTGTTTGCTTGCTTGTTCTTTGGAGACATTGTCACTTCTGATCTCATGTCTCATGTCTAAGGTTAAGGCCACAGTGCCCAGAAAAAGTCTTGACACTGGGAAGATAAGGAAAAAGTGGAAGTGGATACTCATTGTCAGTATCTAGCCCCACTGTTTGGGAAGCTCATGTGGGTATCCAGTCCTACTGATATCCTGGTGGCAGGTCCTTGTGCTTCCTGTCAGGTAGCTAGCTGGCTGTCCACTTACCCCACAAATGGAAGTCCTCTTCTCTTAGAGTGTTCTGCTCTGGGGCCCCACAGCTGCCCTAGTGATCCTAGTACGTAAGGTGGTGTGGCTGTGGGTGGAGTGCTGTATGCCTCAGCAGCTCTGTAGTCAGAAACAACCTTAGCCACTCTCTTTCACAAATGACAAGTATTTGTATATCGTATGTCTGTTTTCTGGGGTTCACATGGTTTACTGAGACACCACTAAGTCCAGTCACCTCTGTTGGGGTTCCAGACGCCACAGAAGAAAGAGAAAGAAGCCAGAAACTTCCTTGATGCCATTCAGCACTTTAAAGGTAGCTAGCTACCCTACATTGCTGCTTTCTGTTGCTTCAATAAACACCATGACCAAAACAACCTGGTGAGCAATGGGCTTGTTTTAGCTTGCAGGTATTGGTTATAGTCCCATCATCAAAGGGAGCAAGAGCTTAAAGCAAAAGCCCACTGCCTTCTGGCTTGTTCAGTTACTTTTCTTAAAAGGCTCACCTGCCTAGGGAATGATACTGCCCATGGTTGTCTGGGTCCTCCTACAGCAACTAGCAATCAAGAACGTGTTCAACAGACATGTCTATAAACCAATTCGACTGAGGCAGCTTCCCTTTCTTACTGTTTTTCTTTTTTCTTTGTGTGTACAACGGGGTGAGGATTCTAAGACAAAGGTTTCTCTGTAGACCATGCTGGCCTCTAACTCAGAGACTCCCCTGCCTTTGTCTCTTAAGTGCTAGGATTAAAGGCGTGCACTGCCACACAACTTTTCAGTTGAGATTCCTTCCCAGATGTGTCAAATTGACAACCATGATTAGCCATGTAATGTAAGGGGAATTAATTCATTTACCAATAATTTAAAACATTGGTGCTTTTTAAAAAAGATATAGCACTGAGCCACTCAGAGCCTCACACATGCCCGACCAACGACCACTGAGCTACATCCCATGCTTCAGATCCCAGGTGTTTTTAATAAATTTACTGTGTGTATATGGTTGGGGAGGGTGATGTATCACAAGTGTAGAGGCCAAAGGACAACTTGCGGAATTGGTTCTTTCCCACCTTCTTGTGGGTCCTAGGGATTAAACCTCAGGTTGTCAGGCTTGTGTACGTGGCAAGGGCTTTTATCCACTGATCCATCTTGTTAGCCTAGCCCCCTGACTGTTAACAATGAGTGCTTGTCCAGGAAAGTGACACTGGGAACATGCTTTTGGTGAAACACCAAGGAGTGGATGTGGAAGCTGGCCCCCTATGGCTCCATCCTTCACTAGCTGCAGACTTACCTGGAGGACTCCTACAGGGGGAGGGGGCCTGACAGCCCGCATGCATTCCTTGATAGCCATCCCTCTGGTTATCTAAACTCCTTTTTAAAACACTGTCCACCTATACGCTGAGACCCCCTGTCCTGTGGAGCCTCTGCTTGTGTGCCTGGCCTGCTGGTCTGTGTAGCTGTTGCTTGGAATTGTTCATTGTTCTGCTGGGAGGGTCAGGCTCAGCACAGTTGGTTCACCCACCCTCTCAGGAGAGGCGTGGTTTGGCTGATTTCCTTAGGGATACAGCAGGGTGGCCACTGCACTGGAGTCTTCTCAGCAGAATTAAATTAACCTTCAAAAGGAGGAAGTGAGTTTTTCCATGGGTGGACAGTGGTCCCCTTCCCTGTCTGGCTTTCTCACTTGAATTCCCTTCCAAATTCCAAATTAACTGTCTACATCCTAACCACCTGCATCCAAGTGCATGCCAAGGGGAAGTGAAGGCTTAATCAAAAGCCACTAACACCATCAGTAGCCTCAGAAGAGGACTGGGATTTCCTCACCAGGCAGGTCCCCCCAAAAAAACCTATGTGCGTTCTGGGAGCTGCAGTCACAACTAAGGCAGACCCATCAGATCTGAAGAGAGAGGGTGCTGAGCTCCAGCTGGGTGCTGTTGGAAACACCCAATCCCATGTTCCAGCAGACATGGCTTCCCTTTAAGGATGGAGAGTGCCTGCTATCATTGGACATCTCTTCAGAGGTTCCCCCTCTGCCCTCCCTCCCCCAGGTCAGAAACTCAGTTCCCAGGATGTTAAGTGCTGTGGTGTCTGGCCTGGACCGATAGACCCTGGTGCCCTTATCAGTGAGGTACATAGGTGGACTATGAGGGTATTACTTGATCTTAAACATAATGGGGAGCCCAAGGGCTTAAAAACACATTATGCTCATCCCCCAGTCTGGAGCTGGTCAAGAAGGGTTGGCTGGCTGGGCCACTCAGCCGCAGGGATCTGCCCAAGTGCTGGGATTATAGGCATAGGCTACTGCACCTGACTTTTCCTAAAATGAGTTCTGGGGATAAACTCAGGCCCTTGGATTGGCAAGGAAAGCACTTTATCAGCTGAACTATCTCAGCACAATTATTAGGATTTATATATATATATATATATATATATATATATATTAGTAAATATATAATCCAACCTTTTAATATATTAAATTATATGTATACTACTTAATATATATTATATTGATATATATGTCAGTATTATATTTATGTCTTATATAAATATGTAACTCATATAATATATGTGATACATAATAATATATAATACATATACAATATATAATATATGTGTAATATATGTATTGTATATTATATCATAAAATTTTGTTATATTTATATACTTATATATTAGTATATACTTTATAGAATTGACTTACATGAAATGGCCAGAGTAGTCAGTCCCACAATGGCTAACTCTCACTGGAAAGAGCAAGGAAGCAATAGTTAAGCTTGTTCCACAGGCTGACTGCCCCAGCAGTCCCGATCCATGAACCTTCTTTAGTCCGCATGAGAAGCCTAAGGTGTCTGGTCCTGACACAGTGAAGGACATGCAGCAGCTGCAGGTTCAGGACTCTGATTATGACATTGTCAGTCTTCCCATCTATAGAATGGGTATCACAGAAGGCACATGTCTAGGGGTGCCAGTCCTGGCTGGAGTCCTGCCTCAGGTCCTTCCCTGTCTGGCTCTCACCCTCAGTGGGAGAAAGTAAGCACTTTAGCAGGCGCCTTCCCACACCCTGTGATTCTTTTCCCACCCAAAGCTGCTTCTGGGTCAGACGTTAACTATTCCTCCACACAGCCTAGGGCCCCAGGCGGGCTAAGCTTTCCTCCTGCCTTGGATGATCAGCACAGAAACCCTAGGAAGGTTCAGATCCAGGACTGGCACAGGGCTTAGGGTGCCCCAGGGAATGGATATCTACACCTCTCAGGAACAGACAGTAATTCCCACCAGCCACCGGTTCTGGTTTGGTTGTTTCATTTTTCAAGACAGGGTTTCACTGTGTATGGCTGTCCTGGAACTCGCTCTGTAGACCAGACTGGCCTTAAAATCACAGAGATCTGCCTGCCTCTGCCTCTTGAGTGCCGGAACTAAAGGCATGCGCCACTACCACCAGACTGTTTATTTTTGAGATGGGATCTCACTGTGTAGCTCATAGGCCTTGAATGTATAATCCTCCAGCTTCAGCCTCCCCAAGGCTGGGACTATAGGCGTGTATTACCATACCCAGTGCTCTATCACTGTAATGAGGAAAACAGAAGCTTTCCTGAAATATCTTACTGGCTAGACCCATGTTCTCTGGCTGTGAGAAAATTCAGACTGTGTAGCTGTTAACTTAATCATTCAAGCAAATTGAAGATTCTCATGTCATGGAGGAAAAGACCTTGTATGTAGACAGATGGCACAGTGCTGGGGAGATGGCTTAACACAAACTACTTGTCACCCAAGTGTCAAGATCCCCATCACCTGTAAATGCCAAAAATACCACGTAGTCATGCCCTGCCTGTAATCTCAACACAAACTGGCTTGCTAGATTTGTGAAAGTCAGTGAGCCCTAGGTTCAACAGGAGACCCTGCCTTGATACAGAAGATGAAGAGCAACTGAAGAAGATATCCACCTCTGGTCTACACACACAAGCACAAATATGTACATACACCTACGCACACAAAAAAATTAAAAACAAGTATATGCAATACAATCACATCATTGTGCTCATCCATCCTTCCATCCATTTACCCACTCACTCACCACTCATCCTCCTATCCACCCATCCATCTGTTCATCCCTCCTTAGCTGCCCATCTACCGACACATCCATTCATGTACCCACCCACTCATCATCCTTCATCCACCTGTCCACTTATCAAACTATTCATCTTTCACTAGCCCATCCACTCATCCATCCATCCATCCATCCACCCACTCACCTTCCCCTGTATCTGAAATCCCAGGTATTTATCTGTGGTCACCACGATGGTGTCCATTGAAGGTTGGGGCATGGGAAGGATGAGCATTTTGATTCCTGTGTGTTCTGTCACTGTATTTTTATTTTTCTTCTTTTTTAAGCAAGGAACATATTTCATTAATGAAAGATATCTATGTTTTTTTTTTAATGGAAATTTATCCTGTGGTCAACTATATGGCTTTTTGTATGCCCCTGAATTCTTTTATGTGCCTTAAAAACTCAACATCTAAGCCACCTTTGCTTTCCATGGGGTCTTATAGGAGTGTGGCTGCATTTAAATTGCCTCTTTCCTCATCCCCTGGGAATACCACTAGACTAGCCATAATCCTCCCAGAGTCTTCAGGAACTTTGACTGACAGCCCTAGGTAAAAAGAAGTAATTCTGATAAGAGGATGAAAGTATTTAATGGGACCTATGGGTGAGATGGTTCTCAGGGCCATCAGAAATCAGACTTTTTCTCTCTCTCACTTTTGCTATCTCTTTATGGAAAATGCCAGTCACATGAGCACAGAAACTTTGTCATTTTTCCTCTACTATCTACCTAGTGCTGGGGATGTAGTTCAATAAGCATTTGTGGCCTGGAAATATGTCTCAGCTAGCAGAGTGCATTGACTCATATGTTTGAATACTTGGCCTATAGGGAGTGGCACTGTAGGAGGTGTGGTCTTGTAGTAGGTGTGGTCTTGTTGGAGGAAGTGTTTCACTGTGCGGGCACACAATATGGGGCACAGGTCTGTTCTGCTGCCTTCAGATCCAGATGTAATACTCTTAGCTCCTTCTCCAGAACTATAGCAACAGTAACCCTAACTAAGATAGTCTTATTATGAACCCTGGCTGGTCTGGAGCTCACTATGTAGACAAAATACCCATACAAAAAAAAAACCCCCAGAGGCCATTTTGCATTTTGGCCAGTGTGTTGGTTTAGATCGTGGCACCATCTTTTTGCAGAAAGGAAGTGCCCTACACCCTACTAAGTCATTTTATTGATGTGTGACATTGAGAATTCTTTTCTGCAGGGAGCCCTGGCTATCTGGACATGTGCTGAAATGGGTGTATACATCAAATATCTTGGTGGGAAGACCTTGGTTGAGATTCAGGAGGTGGTGCTTAGGGTCTGACAGCCTAGGGAAATGGAAGCTGAAGCACTCAGCAGAGAGGGGAGCCAGACCTGCACCTAGCTGGAGCAGGTCCACAGATGAGCTCTGCTACATGGATTTGAACTGTCCTAAGCTAGAAGGGCCTTTGGGCATTGTTCCAGAGACTGAGTTTCCCAGAGCCCTAAATGCTAGAATCTGAGGTCACGCTGGTCCCAGGAATCCTGGATTTGGAGACAAGTGACCTCAGGCAAGGGGGTTACCTTCTTGCATATGCATGTGGGACACCTAAGGACCTGCCTGACTGAGGCTCCCCTGAAGGATGAGATGATGAAAGGAGTGTGGAAGGAGCTCCAGTCACACCATCAAACCCAGGTCTTCCTGTCCCACCTTCCCCTGTGGGACCTGCAGACTTTACAGAGGGCAGAGGATGACTGGAGGCTCAGCAGCCCTGAAACCCCTTCCCAGCCCTCCTGTCACCCCCTGGCCCTCCCCCCTCACTGCTCATAGAGCAGCTGCCAGCCCAAGAGGCTGTTTAAATTAATGTATAAAAGTTTAATAAAACTAAAAACACCTCTTCTGTGGCACAATCATACTGCCGGCGCTTCAGGAGCCCCTGTGGCAAGAGGCTGCCAACATGGACAGTGCAGATAGAAGCAATGTCCCTCATTCCAGGGAGTTCTATTGATTGCCATGTTTTCCTTTTTCTTTTTGAGTACAATACAGAATGACCTTGAACCATGTGCCTGGAAGCTACCCTTGAACTCCTGATCCTCTTGTCTCCACAGGTAGATGCCATTGCATGGTCCTTGGTGCTGAAGTTCTAAAGCAGAACTTGAATTTGTCTTCACTAGGCTGAGGTTTCTGCCTATCACCCCTCTGGAGCCTTTGGATTACTGAGAGGTGGCTGTGGTTATCATTCCAGCTGCTAGGAAGGGACAGACAGGCTGTGAAGAGTGAGTTTAACTCTGTGGTGGCTAAACTTGGTTGTCAACTTGAGCTGACCGGGGATCAATGAAGAGACTTGTCTCTCTGAGAGGATTAGCTAAGGAGTGGGGAGCGCCTTCTTTGCCTGCCTGCCTTCATTTCTTGCTTATAGATGCATCTGCTCTGTTGCTGCCACTCCTACCATGCTTTATTGTATCAGAACCTAGTTTTTTCAACCTTTCAGTATGGACTAAAGACCAGTGGCCCTCCAGGAATCCTCCCTGCCCCAGCACCAGATGGATACATCCAGATTATCTAGCCCTGAGATCTAAAGAAGCAGCTATGAGGTTCTCAGAGTCTCCACCATGCAGATGGCCATTGTCGGCCTAGTTGGTGTCATGTAAGTCAATCACTGAGTGCATTTTATAATATATGTCTATGCTATTTGTTCCATTCCTCTATAGAACATAAGCAGTGCACCCACCCAACTACCCACAGTGAAAAGTGAGATGTGTAAGAATTCAGGCATTATGCTGGCCTGCCCGTTACCTGGCAGAATGCACTCAGGCAGGTCAGCCCAGGTACATAGGACCCTTTAAAAGAAAGACCTCTGCCCACTTATGCTCTTGCTCTCTCTTTCCTCCTCTTTTTCACTCTGTCTTCCCCTCTCTCTTCCCTGCTGTCTGTGTCTCTTTATCTTTACTCTTTTCTTTTTCCTTCTCCCCCTTTCTTTTTTTTTTTTTTTTTTTTTTTGAGACAGGGTTTCTCTGTATTACTTTGGAGTCTGTCCTGGCACTCACTCTGTACACCAGGCTGGCCTCGAACTCGCAGAGATCCACCTGCCTCTGCCTCCTGAGTGCTGGGATTAAAGGCATGCACCACCAATGCCCGGCATTCCCCTTTCCCTTTCTAATAAACCTCTCACTAAGCTCTGGCATATTTATCCCCCGCCTGGGTCACCCTTGCCTGCCATGGAATCCGCCAAGGTCCACCATGACCTTTATTCCCAACAGGATGATGCTGCTGCTTCAGGTGCTTCATCTACATCTGACTTTAGAGGAAGGCCTAATATCCAGCATTCCACTGCACTCCCCATGGGCCTCCTCTGCCCTGTGTTCTCAGACTCCCTAAGAAGGCTACCTGATATTGTGTCTAGCATCTTTATTGGCGGGGGTTAGCAGGGGGAGGTATCTGTTGAAGGTCGTGGGAAGGCGATTCTAGTGTCTCCAGGGCTTGCTCCTGGCTTTACATGTATCAAGTCACTTTCTTGGGCAGAGGATTAATGATCCCACTCTCTATATACTCAAAGACGGTGTATGGGTCCTGGTCCCCGTTGACAGTGATGGCCCGGTCATAGTACTGCTCCAGGTCCCCGGAGTTCCTGTAGAACAGGTCTGTTCGGAGCCTGATGTACTCCTCTGAGTCCTTGGGGTTCTGCAGGAGACGGGCCTGAACTTCAATAGTGGGAGGGGGCTTGTACATAAGATGGAACCTATGAAGGAAGCAGATGACAAGGGAGCCCTTAGTCCTCTTGTTGACTATTCTAGAGTGCCCTTGCCCTGTCACCATTACCACGAGGCACGAATGCCAGCCATGCACTAGCTGGGCGCACCCTGGACTAGCCTCAGGCTTCTGGGATATGAAGTTGTGGTCCCAGTGAAAAGAAAGGACAGAGGTCAGCCAGGGGACAAAATGTAAAGACACAGTAAGGCCTGCTTTCCCTTTGATCTAAGAACTTAGGAGGCCCAGGGAGGCAGATTTCTGCAAGTTCCAGGCCAGCCAGAGCTGTGTAGTAAGACCCCACCTGAAACAAAACAAAGAACAAACAAAACCCAGGTTCTTTCCTTTCCCTTTGCAAGCTCCTCCCTCCCTGCCACATGTGTGCAGGTGCTGGAGGTCAAAAGATTCCCTGAACTAGAACTCCAGATGGCTGTCAGCTACCTTTTGTGGGTGCTGGAACCCAAGCTCAAATCCTCTGGAAGAGCAGCAAGTACTCATCTTTGTAGCCCCTGGTTTGTTTGTTTGTTTGTTTGTTTGTTTGTTTTTGTTTTTGTGGGTTGTTTTTTTTTAAGACAGGGTTTATTCATCAGGGTTCTCTAGAGGAACAGAACTGATAGAATGAATATATATGTGGAATTTGTTAGAATGGCTTATAGGCTGTGATTCAGCTAGTCCAGCAATGGCTGTGTACCAACAGGACATCCAAGAATTCAGTATTATTCGGTCCCCAAGAACTGGTGTTCAGTATATGCCAGAATCCCGAAGAAATAGACTAATGCCAGGGAAGGAATGGACTTGCCAGGGAGAGTGAGGGCAAGCAGGCAGAGACCAGGCTTCCTTCTTCCATGTCCTTTATTTAGGCTGCCAGCATAAAGCATGGCCCAGATTAAAGGTGGATTGTCTCATCTCTAAAGATCTAGATTAGAAGTAGATCTTCTGCCAGGCAGTGGTGGCACATACCTTTAATCTCAGCACTCAGGAGGCAGAGGCAGGTGGATCTCTGTGAGTTTGAGGCCAGCCTGGTCTACAGATCAAGTTCCAGGACAGCTAGGGCTACAGAGAAACCCTGTCTCAAAACAAAACAAAGAAAGAAAGAAAGAAAAAAAGAAGTGGGTCTTCTCACTTCAAATGATTTAATTAAGAAAATACTCGAGCCTGGCATGGTAGTGCATCCCTTTAATTCCAGCACTGAGGAGGCAAAGGCAGGCAGATCTCTGTGAGTTTGAGGCCAGCCTGGTCTACAGAAAGAATTTTCAGGACAGCCAGGGATGTCACACAGAGAAACCCTGTCTTGGAAAAAAAAAAAAAAAAAAACTAAAGAGAGAGAAAAAGAAAAGAAAATCCATCACGGGCATACCCAGCCACTTGGTATGCATCTGGTTAATTCCAGATGTAGTCAAGTTGACAACCAAAGAATAGCCATCACACAGGATTTCTTCTATGTAGCCCTGGCTGCCCTGAAACTCCTTAAGTAGACTGGGTTAGCCTCAAAGTCACCTGTCTCTACCTCCCAAGTGCTGGGATTAAAGGCATATACCACCACAAAGGGCTTATTTTTTTTTATGTGTGTGTCTCTGTGTGTATGTCTATATGTCTGTCTGTGTGTCTCTATGTGTATGTATGTATATCTGTGTGTGTGTCTGTGGGAGGGTGCCTGTGTGTGTGTGTGGGTATCTCTGTGTGTATGTATCTGTGGGAGGGGGTGTGGGTGTCTGTGTGTGGGTATGTATCTGTCTGTGTGTGTCTGTGTCTGTGTGTGTTCTGGAGGATTGAACCCAGGTCCTCATGCTTTCAAGGCACTTTGCCATCTGAGACCTCCCCAACTTCATCTTGCCTTTTTTCATCCTTCTAAACACTGTTCATTAAGTTCTAACAGCCTGCCCATCTGGAGCAACTGTAGTCAGCTGGGGGCTAGGACTACAGTGGCCAGATACTTAACCAGCATGTTGCAGCAGGGCCTGGTACACTCCTCCCTTCACTCTTGCAGACAGGGAGCCAAAAGACACACCCAGAACGCTCTCAACAAGCCTGTTTCTAGCCTCTGTCTGGAGTGGTCATCGCTATCCCAAAGCAGGTCCACAATAGTGCTGAGCACCTTAGTGGAGAGGTGGCTTTGCAGGGGGCCTGGCCACCAACAGCCCTCCATGACCAGTCATCAGTAACCCCGACCAACCTTTCTCCTGTGACAGGGTCAGTCCTTCTCAGCGTCAGTCGCTCCAGGATGGAATCCAATGGCACGTTGAGGAAGAATACCCTGCAGAGAGAGACCACAATAACCATGTTTGTTACTGTCTGGACCTGGTGAAGCTTTGAGAGCCTGGGCCTGCTAATCCTGGGGATACTCCTCCTCCCTGGCTGACCTGTCAGCATGACTTTCGGGTACATAGCAAACCCACCTAGAGCCCAAAACTCAGAGCCCTCCTTCTCCAGACTAAAAACACTCCAGTACCAGATACTAGGGTGTGTAAAGACTGCCTACTAGCCCAGAGCCCTCAAGAATCAACCATTGGCCACCTTGGAGCCCACACTGCCTTGTGTATTCCTCTCCACAGGAACCACAGTCAACTTCCTCGGCCACCCTGTTCCCTTCCTCCTGCTGCGCCCTACCCTTGGTGTCCCTGGCAGAGCATTGGCCTCTGTTTTCACTCATTTACCTCCATAAACTAAATCTTGCTACAGTTAAGACAAGAACAGTCACCTTGGTCACCAGAGGGAACCCCAGGCCAGACTTTTGTCACCCTAGGGCCATAGTTGGCATTATTCTCCCTGTGTGTGCATGTATGTGTTTCTGTCCCAGCTCCCTCGAGGCAGCCAGGTATGGCTATTCAGACCCTGCCTGGGCTGTCCTTGCTCCATGCCTCTTGGCTAGAAGATCCCTTTTCCCTCTATCTCTCTCATGCCTATGGCTTGGCTGTGACCTGGGCTGTGAAGAGGCTAGACTGAGCTCAGAGCTCCCCCTGGCTACCGGGGCTCGGGCAGGATGCAGACCCATGCCAAGCCAGGCACGTGCAAGGCAGCTCCAGCCCTTTCTATGGGAGCTTCATCTATGACTTCACAGTAGGAGAAATAGAAGCCCAAACTTACCCAGAGGGCCTCCAGAAGAAGGCAGCTTGCCCAGAGCCATCAGAGAGGTGGCCAGAGCCAGTAGGGTTCCTCCTCATAGTTATCCAAAGTTACTCTTTTTTTTTTAACCTTTTATTTATTAATTTTTTTAGGAGGTAGTAGGGGGCATGTACTACAATAAGTATGTAGAGGTCAAAGAACAACGTGGGGTTCCCTGCATGCTCTATGGGAGAGGTAAGAAATGAAACTTGGTTCAGCTTGACTTAGCTGCAACTGGTTCAAACTTCTGGAGTCTGACACCGGATGGTTTATTTTAGCCATATTTAAACATAGTACAATTTTGGGGAAACGTTTCCTGATGACAGTAAACTCACTGCCATGGGTACAACAAAGGTTAAGACATGTTTACATTGAAACACTTTTGAGGGGGGTTGTTTTTTGGTTTTTGGTTTTTTAGTTTTGTTTTGTTTTTGTGTGTGTGGGTAGCCCTGGTTGTCCTGGAACTCTCTTTGTAGACAAGGCTGTCCTTGAACTCAAAAAGATCCACCTGCCTCTGCCTCCCAAGTGTTGGGATTAAATGTCACCACTGCATAGCTACACTGGAACTCTTTACAAAGTACCCATGGTTTCTTCAATAAAGAGGGGTTCTATTGATTCAGAAACAATGCTCAAGATAAGGGTCTAGGAGCATAACTGAGGTAAACACAATGCCTAAAGGAGTCAGGAGTAACCTGGCCCTAAGTTAACATAGAAGCCTCTAAGGCTGTTGTAAAGCACAAATGACACCTCTCATAAGAATGGTTTTGTGGACTGAGAAGCAATGCTCAAGATTTAGAGGGGAAAGTTGGGAATAACCAAACTAGTCTGGAGAATTCAGGTGCAGCTTGGCCCTCCCTACAGGTAGCAAAGACCACCAGGTTGTGAACTACATGCTTTCCCAGCATTCCAGGAGACAGGCAAATGTCTCCTTCCTTTGAAGAGACAAGCCCGTGTGTTTAACTCTGCTAGTTGCCTTGTTGCTTCTGTGTGCACAGGACCTCATACTCTACAGAAACATGCAGGAGTTGGTTTTCTCCTTCCATCTGTGGGTCCCAGCAATTGAACTCAGGTCATCGGGCTTGGCAAGTGTCCTCACCCTCAGAGGCATCTCACCAGCCTTAGTTACCCTTATTGCTGTGGCATAATACATGACAAGAAGCAATTTGAGGGAGCAAGTATTTATTCTGGCTCACAGTTCAAGGATACTGGCATCATGGTAGAGAAGGCATGGTGGCGGGAGAATGAGGCACTTCCGTTGTTCCTACCATCAGGGTGTGGTAAGCAGGTGGGAAAAGGCCTGCACCCAACCCCCGGTGAAAGACTTGCACTAGATAGGCTCCACCTCCCAAAGGTTCCAGAACCTTCACAAAAGGCACCAGGTATTCACACACATGAGCCAATTATGGAACCCTTCACATTCAAAACACACGGACACCTGGCACACTTGGTATGATGTGGGAAAGCTGAGCAAGATGTTCTTTCTCAGGCCAGCCATGGAGACATATTATTATTTATGATTGCTCAGCCTTATCTCATGCTTGTTTCTTGCTAGATGAAGAGAAACTTAACATGGTTTTTTTGCTTCAGAGCTTTCTACCTTTCTTTCTTTCTATCTTACTTTCCTGCCATCTCCAGGTCTGGCTGGCTAGAGGCTGCTTGGCTTCTGGCCCAGATGTGTCCCTCTCTTTCTCTCTTGTTCTCTCCTTCTCTCTAGCCTAGGTTTCCCCCTTCCCCACTTATTCTCTCTGCCCACCAGCTCCTCCTATCCCTCTTCTGCCTAACTATTGGCTGTTCAGCTTTTCATTAGACTAGTCAGGTGCCTTAGGCAGGCAAGGTGAAACAGCAACACATCTTTACATTGTTAAAGCAGCATAAACAAATGTAATACACCTTTACACAGTTAAAGTAACTTACACAACATACGGCATGCATAGCTTTGCATAAATTAAAAGTCCAATGATACATTATTACAACTAAGTGAGCTTTAATCTGGGAATAGAAGCCTAGTATATTTTTAATCAACTTTAAATTTAAAGTGAAATTCATTATATTTTTAGACTAAGTAGACAGGTCTCACTATGTAGCCTAGGTGGCTATCAACTGCTATGCAGCCCAGTTCAGACTTGGATTCTCAATCCTCCTGCCTCAGGTGCATGCCACCTTGCATGAGGAAAAAGGACAATATAGATCAGCTTACAAAACAACAACGACAGCAAAACAGGCAATACTATGCAAAAGGTGAAATGTCTGCTCTCACTATCCCTCTTCAACGGATTCCTGTAACTGGTCTCTGACCAACACACACACACACACACACACACACACACACACACACACACACACAGTAATTTAAAAAATAACCCTCTGCATATCAAAATATATTAAAAAAATAAGCCAGAATGGGAAAAACACATATCTGATCAAGCATTTGTATCCAAAATTATGAACTACATAAGTTGGCACAGTTGGCAACACCATGTGCAGGTGCCCTAACTGCTCTGGAATTTCTGAAACTGATATCCAAAGGGGAAAGTGTGTGTCTGAAGATACTTTTTTGAAAAAGGCTCAAGTTGCCTCCTCCTTCCAGTATATCAAAGACTCAGCCTCTGCCATGGGAAGCCCTCCTTTCAGGCTGGAAGGCACCAGGACTCTTTCTGTCCAGACGATCTGTGGCTGTGTCTGGCTGTGGTATAACTCAAGGTGTTTCCTCTCAGGAAGAATTACAGTGACCACCAATGAGGAGGACCAGGAAAGAAGAGAGCTGCCAGTGAAAACACTAACAGCACCACAGATGAGTGTGATGGAGTGATGGAGGCTGAGTGATGGACAAAGCACATTGCTAGACTGGAGGCATCATCCAAGACATGGAAGGGGACCATGGTAGTCCTCCTTCAATGGCAAATTCCAGTGTTCCAGGAGCACAAAGCAGGAGCCAGTTCTTTTATTTCTTCTTTTAGGTTTAGTTGATTTTATTTTATGTGCATCTATATCTGTGTACCACTTATGTACATGGTGCCCACAGAGGCCATAAGATGGCATCAGATCCCTGGGAACTGAATTATGGATGGTTGTGAGTCGACACATGGGTTCTGGGAATAGGACTTTGGTTCTCTGCAAAAGTAACAAATGCTCTTAGCTGATGAGCATATGGAAGTCACAAAACATCCTCCAGGATCATCTTAAGGAACCCTGTCCACCTCCTTTGAGACAGGGTCTCTCATTTTCCTAGAGCGGTGCTGGCTAGCTGAGGATCTTCCTGTCCCTGCCTTCCCTGGGCTAGCACGCCAGGCATTTTCCCATGAGTTCAGGGGAGGGATCCAGAAAACACTTCACCAGCTGAGCTGCCTGCCCAGCCTCAGTTTCTACCACACGTTCTCTCCTCTCCACCAGAGGACGCTCAGTCCAGATTAAAACTGTAACAGGTTCAGCCCTTAAACACACCAAGGTTCAGGACGTGGGCTGTGGCTGCCTTGTTGGTACTGTGTACTTCCTGCCTGGCAAATGCTGAGAGCCAACACATATGCTGAAAGTGGACAGGGTGGGTGTCGGCACACAAACTGGCCTGATCCCATCATAGCAAAGCACAGCTTCAATTCTATGCAGTTGGCTTCCTGGCCCTCCAGACAGGTGCCTGGGTCACAGGCCAAACCTGCACATTCCTGGAATTCACTGTTGAGAGAGGCTATGCCCAGGAAGAGCCATGCAGAGAGCCTGGACACATGGCTTCTCTGGCCAGGATTTTAAAGTGCTTGCCATGTGGCTGTTTCACTCTGATAAGCATATCTGAAAAACCAAAGGGCAAGTACCAGCACCTGATCCCACCACTGTGGGCTTCTTGTGTCTGGCCTTGAGCATCAGTGACAGTCCCTCTCACTTACAGCTCCCACTCCTTCAAAACAAGGGCTCCCACCGGCCAGTTCTTGTTGAAAACAGTCCATAATTGACAGTGCAAACCCACCCTGGCAGTACCTGCAGTCTCTCCAGGGGCAAGCAACAAACTCACTCTCCCTGCTGTTAACTAGTAAATTAGCGAGTGCTCCTGGCAGTTTACGAAGTGCATTTCCAAACACAGCAGCCTGGTTGAAGGAGAATGACCCAGGATACTGCTGCATAATCCAGCTCCTTTTAAAAGCCCACTTAAAATGTCTATCT